AATGTCACTCTAATGTTACCTTAATGTCACCCTAAATGCATCGCCATGTCACACTTGGAACGCACACGAGACTTCAATAAAAAGGCAGTGTACCTTTCTCTGCTTGAATAATAAGCAGGCCAAATGGGATAAAATTGGGTTTGTGCAACTAAAGTATTTTTTCCTCCTTAAAAAAAGTACTGTCCTGTTTCAGGAATGTAGAGGTGAGGTGAAAGTCAAACTCAAGTGAATATACAGAATTAAACCTCAAAGACAATAAAACTATCATGATTAATGCTACCAAGCAAAAAACAAAAAGGCAGGAAGACTGATGTGGAAAAATACTCTATACACGCAATCAAAATGCAGTGAATTAAAATGACCCAAATTCTACTACTATTCAGCAGCACACACACAAATCTGCCTACCGCCTTCCTACTTCTCTGAAAAATAAAAATCTTAAGTGGATGTTTTTGCCTTCTCTGGATGTAACCTGAAAGTTTTATGGAAGACACAAGGCACGAAAGATACTGGCTGTAGGAGAGGGGTGCACGATTATCTCCAAATGTTACAGGTCCAAACTGGTATGTAGGGTTCCAAAGGGGTCATGCTTGCACAAGGCTGACAACTTTTGTTTTAGGACTCAAACCAATGAGATCTAATACTCCAAAACCAATGGGACCTGAAACCCCTCTGTAGCTTTCTTAATAGTCTTTATGTATTGAAATAGATGATTCCTACAATGCCTGTGGACCCAATGGTACACACACACACACACACACACACACACACACAGGACTAAGAAAAACAATGGCAATGATCTTATAGGCTAAAAGCACAAAGCTCAATAGAATCTGAAGTAAATTGTGCTTTGAAAGAAAAGCAGAGAAGCAGAAAGAGAAGTTTTCCAAATACTTTCATTAAAAGCATAGAAATAGGAATGTAAAGGCCAGTCATGAAAGAACTGATTATCTCAAGAGATCAGACAGACTTTAGTGACAAACTCATGTTTTCATTTCCTCTTCACCTGCTGCTGGTAAAATAGTGACAGCTTATATTACTTTATTAATAAATCTTTAGATAATATAAGTTGATAAAAAAATACTCCCTAAAATAAATGTAAATGAAACTTTCACTTGAAATTTCCAAAGCCCCTAAGCATCTTTCCTCCATCTTTCAAAGGTTACCAAATTCACGGGAAGTAAAAAGCTTCTCAGTGAGAAAACAGGGAAGTGTTGTACATGTGCCATATGAAAGCTATTTACTAGTAAGGATAAGTTTATAATTAGCCATTAACAATTAAAGAAAACCGAGCCTTGGGTCTGTGAGGTCAGGGTTATTATTCAAATTACTGCACATCATAAAGCAAAAGCTTCTAGTCTTAAAACAGTTAAAAAAAAAACTGGACCAGCACTTTTTAAAGGGCTTTATTTTAGTATTTCTTAATTATCAAAACAGCATCATGATACACTATTTTTTAAATTATCATATTATTGTTGTACTGGGGGTACATTTTTAAAGTTCTTACAATGTATCAAAGTTGAATTCTCCCTCTCCAGCATTTTCCTTTACCCCACCCCCCCCATTTCCAGGAGTAGTTTCAACAGGTCTCATTTTTCCATTTACATATGAGTACATAACATTTCCACCGTTTTCACTATCTTATACTATTTCCCTACACCCCCCCCCATCCCACTGATACCAATCCCCCGACATGACCTATTTTACCTTCCTGTGAAACATACTATTTTGTTTCACCTTGTCTCTCTCTCATCTTCTCTACTAAAGCACACAAATAATGGAAGCAGGAAGTAGAAGCCACTTATTTTCTTTCCTCCTCTCCCCCATCTCAAGCTGAGGAAGATAGGAAGCTCTTCTATTGAGGTACAAAGTAAAGACAATGGCTATTACAAGTTATTAAGTAGACTTTTATTGCTCTTTCAACATCAATAACATCTATGAAAAAATAGTTTTCTTCTAACAATTATGAAACAAATTTGAAAGGCAGGATTGTTCACATTATAGACTTGGATGTAGACTTCATGTAAATGAAAGACATCAGTTCTCCGATTTAATGTGTGATGTACTTTGGATTTTATTACAAAAGAAAATATCACTGTAATTATAAAAATTATAGAAATTGTAACTGTTGTGTGAAATTACACCAAGGTATCAAGTATTACATAAATGAACAATAAAATTTAATTTTATTGAAACGTAGTTAATATTGGAAGACACCCTTCTGGCAGACCCTGCAAAAACAAAAACCTTGAATAATAAAGCAACAAAAGGAAAAGCCACAGCACAAAAACAAAAACAATGTGCAAAAACTATGATTAAAAGAAAACAAAGCTTAACAATTAGTCCAAGTATGTGCTAATTATTTAAAAAATTTTAAATATTTAGACAATTTCATTTCCAACTATGGTTTTCTATAATTGACATTTTGCTTTCAGAAAAGTTAGATTTTTACATTAAAATTGCCAATTTGAACACTATTTTAAACCTTGAATATACTTAAAGCCTTTAAATTTACTTTCTAAAAATAAATAATTGTTGGAGTAAACGAAGGTATTTCACATATTTGCACTGCATACAATAATGATGTAATCTACATAAATAATTTTCAAAAATTAATTTATTTGAAATAAACATGTTTGAAATACCATGTTATGCCGATGCATACACATGTAGAATCTGAGCACTGTAACTGCTGAGCGTGTTCACAGAACTGACGCGCATCAGTACAAAGCTCTGGCGACAGAGACCACCTTTCTTTTCACAGAGTTCTGAGCCTGCCTTGAGTTAAAAACCTCTTACACTCAGACAGAAATGGTTTTTGGTTGAAGGGAAAAAAAAAAGTAATTCTGAGTGGTAAAAACCAATCTCCTTTATAAATACATGCATGAGCACACAAAGTTTCATCCCACATGTCTTATAGAAGACTTGGCAAATATGAACATTGGTACACAACAGCTTTAAAGAACTATAAGATATTTAAGACTGACAAGTTCACACACACACACACACACACACACACACACACACTGTACACACACAAGCACACAGTATGCTCTAGAACAACTGTGCTTCACTTCCTCACATCTAGTATTACTTTTAAAATATATAGAATTATCCTTTTATCATAAGGAAGCTAGTTCATTATTTTCTCAAAAGCTGCTACTTTAGAATGAAACAGCAATCAAGAGAAAGTGAATTTCAGATGGTCTACATTAGGACTTACTAGATCCTTTGTAAACAGACATTATAAATAAATAAAATAGGGTGGAGAATAGAATATCCTGAGGCGGCTCTGTGGCCGGGGTGTTCAGTAGCACTAAGCTCCATTCTGAAAATCAAGGCATCTGCAAAAGTGCTGCGTTATTCATGTGATCTCATCTTGTAAATGGAGTATTACAGGTTTAATTATTTTGCACCTTGAGGTAAATCTGCACATAGCAACTACTACTGCCCATATCCACCTGTGTAAGGCAACATTTAAAAATCACTATGTAAATTACATTTTTCACTGTCTTGCAATGCATGCTATCCATGATTGATATTTTCAAAAATAGTGGGAGAAATTATCATAACCAATTAGAACAAGCAGTTAATTGCTTAAACATGAGTTACCTTTGCTCTTCAATGGAGTAGTCATATCAGATCATTTTGTAAATAAAGTAGTCAAAAGAAAGCAGAAACCATTAATAATCAGAAACACACTGAAACATTTCTGCAAGTCAAAATCATGGTTTTTCTGGCTCTGGATAACTACTATACATAATTAAATAAAATCACAGAAACACTATGATACCAGGTAGTTTTCGGCTTAAATCTTAAAATCACCTTCAGTAAAATAACTACAGTTGTTAATCCTTTGATGTCCACACACGATATGGTGTAAGGAGATCCTATTGTTCAGGAACATCAGGGGAGTTTAAAAAATAGCAGCGAACACTGGGGACTTTGGAAATGACTCTGCTGATAGGGGTGAACAGGCATCGCTTACACAGAAGCTCATAAACACTGGTGAGCACCACGGGTAATGCTCTTCATCAGGTGCCAACAGACGCTAGAGCTCTTTCCAGGCAGTGCCAAATATGGCAACTACCTTTCCTAAACAAAAGCAGCTACATTCCTAACTTTGTATCTGAGGCAGAGGTTGAATCTATTAATTGAACTAGACAGACTATGGCCTCAGATGGAGAAATGTCATTATTATTATGTAATTTACAATAAGATTAAAAACACTTCAGAACTACAAAAACATCAGCTTTTGGCACTTCTCATGATCTTCTTTAAGATCAATTTCCTCATACTTTTGTTTTTTAAGTATAAATGACTAAAGAGGACCCTGGAGTTTCATTAAAATTCTCATCCTAACATTCATGTCACCATCTCGAGTATTTCTGTGGTTTCTCAATAGTCACATAAACTTTGTATTCTCTGGCCAAATCAATTGCAGAACCCCATTCATCCAGTCCTACAGGCTTAACAAGAACATTTACTTTGTAGAGAGCTAAGAGTATATAAAAAACGACTAAGACAATTTGCTAGAAATTAAAAAAGTAATTCGAAAAGACTGAAAAAACAAACGTTAATACAGAATAGGAAGAATGCCATCATAAAATGTCTGGTTTCCTTTTAAAATACAAATATGGCAGTGCTTTATATCAAAGATGTAAAATCTGTCATATGTGCTCAGATCTTAAACATAAATGTGAGCGAGCACCAAGTATTTACATTAACAATTTGTTACCTTTTCAAATGTTTATATGAAATTTAAGCAGTTATCAATTAAAATATTTTAAAATGAGATTGTGGGTAACAACCTATTAAAATCTATATAACATAAAGAATAACAGAAAATGAAACAAAATTCTTAATAAAATAATACTGATCAAATTCTGACTCCTGATTATTTAATGACACTACTTGAAACAGAAAAATAAATCAAGAAATTGAACCTGATAAAAACTAAACCATTTCAAGTAGAAGAAAGCAACAGCAAAGAACAGACTGGGACAGATGACTTCTAAAAATGCATGAGTATTCAGAAAATATTTCTAGAAAGGTAACAAAATTTATTGCAAACTGGCGTTTTATAGCTTCTAAAATTCAAGAAGTCATGACTGGTATGAGTAAATTATAAATCACCTACAATTTCACTTGCCTATCAGAATGGAAACCTAGATATGGAAGTTGTAAAATTTAAAAATATTCCTAAAACATAAAGGTTAAAAACTATAGCTCCTATCTAGAAAGTCCCCACTCTTCTCCATTCACTAAGAGATGTATCACTTGTGAAGTGCAACAGACGTCTACATAAATGAAACAGAGGAGCCACGACACATTGTTTCTTGCACATCATCGGTATGAAGAGTAACAAATGTGAAATAACATGAAAACTTTTAAAACTCAAGTAAAAATTAAAAATTATAAATACATGTAATAAGTATGTATCACTTAAGGTTGGTATAATTGCCACTGATGAACAAAGATACTTAAGAAAGCAGACTGAATGTATTCTCCATATCCTTCTATTGCAAAGTAGAAAAACTGTTTTCAACAGAATAAATATTTGAATAATAAGAGCCATGTACCTACATTTCTAAGAGACCATACAGTCTCCAAGGTGCTCATAACAAACTTTAGATACTACTTCAAAAACCCAGTAGTCATGTATAAATAGCATGACATACAATATTGCTATACATAGTGACACTGACACACACACATTATAGATATGGATGTAGTTATATATCTATATAATTCCTCTTGGTTCAATTCTACAATGAAGTTTCAGCATCCATGTACTTCTTTGATGGTTCACCTTCGAAATTTATTGTCACACTCACAGGCTTTTCGGGGCTGTTTAAAAGAATGAGAAAAATTGATTCTTAAAAGAACAAATTCTAGATTCTAAACAGGGCAACAATGACCATACCCCCTGTGGTACTGGGGACTGAACCCAGGGCCTAGCACTTGCTAAAGTAAGGGCTCCTGAATATGGGACACAGTCCAGGTCTATAATGATTAATTTCATTAAACCTTTTTTTTTTTTTGGTAGTAAAAGTGATAGTAAAATTTATTAAGACAGGAATAACACTTTCAATGGAATGAAAGCAGGTCATTTCTAGACAGCGAATAGAATAACCAAACTACACCACACCTTTGATAATTACTAACAGTACTAACATGACTTACTATTATAATTTGAGAGTTTTAGTATCCTTAAAGTTAACTGGAAAGGCACATGTTTAATTTTTTTTTAATTTTATGTTTTGTATTTAAATTCATGTGTTTCTTAAAACTAGAGGTGCTTGTTAAGACAGTTTATGGCTGCTTTATTTAATTTTACTGACAATACATTTTAGATGTTTCTTTTTTCTTTTTGCAGTGCTGAAACTTTGTGCCTGCAATTGCTCTCCCTCTAAGCTGCATCTCTAGTCCATGAGTCTTTGTAAATATAAGCACCAAATAATTTCTTACAAAGGTGACAAATTTGGTTCACATATGTAGGACCAAAACACCTGTTCTATTTTTTGAAGGTTATATATAACAAACACAATTGCTCCATGCATATGCATTTGATTGGCTGATTTTAGCTGTAAGACAAATATGTGGGTTTTGAAAATTTCACAAAGAATAAAAATACACTACAGTTTGCTGCCTTCTTCAGACAAACTGAAGGGAAGATCTCCCAAACACTTTTCTTTTAAATGACAGAACCAAGACATACTCTTTATTCTCATGTGAGTTTTTAATAGCAGGGCAACCCAAGTGAAAGGCAGAAGTACTAAAGATATGTCAATATTATTGTAAGGCCTTTTTGGGGGCAACTCTGGGGTTTGAACTTATGACCAAGAACTTGAGCACTCTACCACTAGAGCATGTTTCCAGCCCTTTTTGCTTCAGTTTATTTTTCAGACAGGGTCTCATGATTTTGCCAGGGCCAGTCTCAAACAGAGCTAGCCCCCTCCCCCCACAAACACATTCTCCCTCATGGCTGGGATTACAGACATGAACCACCACACTAGGCAGGTCTTTATTTTTAATTGTAACTTAATATTAACAATCTGAGTCAAGGGAGCTGACAGAATGTGAAAAATAAGTAAGAATGAAAAAAGAACAGTGAAATTCTGGCTGTACCGAATGATCCAAGGTAACAAACCATACAGACTAAAGATAGAAATTTTAAAAGTTAAACAGCCCAGTTCAGAAAATTCAAACTCAAGAAATGACAGAAAAGAAAAACATGATGGTAAAGATTAAGGAAAAAGAGGAGGAAAGAGAAATATCAAGAAAATACTAATCAATTATTATCACAAGGCAGAGCTTAGAAAAACATTAACTAAACAGAAACAGTTCTGTGGCCACCTGCCTGGAAAGGCTTCAATCAAATGTCCGAGCAGAGTATCCCAACACCCAACATAGCACCTGAATGAAGCTATAACCCCTCCCAAAATATCAGTTGAATATGATGCCTGAGTAACTTGTAGGACAACATCTCACTTCCAAAGAGACCTAAGGACTAAAATTCCAATGATTATGAAAACAGAATTCCTGAGGTCTCAGGCTTTGAAGTCAAGGAACAAGTGTTACATAACAAGTAATATAAGGAAGGTTACATAAGCTTCAACACATGGTTCATTATAAAGCCTAATGGTTACTATATCAATGAAATAAATTTCTTCCAAATAACTTCAGGGAAAACATTTATCTCTCCTGGAGAAATGACACACTAAAAAAACAAGACAAAACACAAAAGGAAAACTGTGTTTTTCTTTTTTCTTGGACCAAAGAAAGCATGATGGAGGTGATGTTCAATTACAGTATTTTTTAATGCCTAATAATTATCTTTCTATCGTTTTTCATCTTTTATATAATATACTCTATATTATTCTATAAGATTTATTATAAAATAGCTCAAATTCTTTTTTGAAATCTACAAGTATAACTTTAAAAAACTACCAAGCATAATTATCACCTATACCTGGTCACAGTGAGAGAAAAATGATGGACAGAGGGAAAGAAGTGGGGAAGAAAGGACAGCTGATTTGTCAAGAAAGGAGAATACCGATGAAGTAAATTAAGTTAAATGTGATAGTCTCTCAGTAAACTGAAGACTGGTGATAGAAAATGCATAAATAGTTACAACTACCTCGTGTTAGATCTGGTTACTTTGGCATTCTCAGTATTCATGGAAAGTGCCTTCCACTGTGCAGTTTTGGCCATTTCATCTGATATGTTAACAATTGAGGGATCAATACTGAAGAACAAACACACTTTTTGGTTAGTATTCAGTATATGCAAAAGCATTAATACTGTCATTCTTATTAGCTAATAATTACTGGCTTTGATCAACTTAAAATTGAAAAACTCCTTGCCATCCATTTAAACCAACCAAACTGCATCAAAGCTATCATAATGACTTTGTTATAAAAACCTTAGAGAATTACACCTTCCATTACAATCAAAACTAAGAGTAACACTAATTAGATTAACGAAATTTACTTATGGAACTTTGCCTCAGAATTTGATTTGGAACTTAAGGAGAATTCTAGCAATGATGCCCCTCTGATCATCTTGGTTATACAGATATTGTTGAAATAATAAAACATAATTAGTGAGCTTATAAATCTAAAAATATAGCATGAAGTTAATCAGAAAACATTAAAAATACCTTCAATATATAAGAAAAAACTATTAAAAAAAGCGTTTGCTTTAAAAAATGCTGGGGAAGATGACACTTTACAATGAAAACAACGTTCTGGAAACATTTCAACAGATAACAAAAAACAGCTTTTAAATACCACTCAACTGGCACAGTCACAAGTAATATGAAAAAAACGTAAGCTTAGTAGAAATAATTAAAAGCCCTTTTTCTTTACCAAAAGAAAAATACTTCATGCAAACAAGCTACAAATACAAATGTCAAATTATACCTTGTTAAAATAACAATGTTAACAGTTTCTATGTTGCAAATGAATAAATAGCAGTGAGTTAAAAAGTGCTAGCTTGCTTCATTCTTTAAATCAGAATGGTGTTTAAAATGTTAAAGGCTGCAAAGACATATGACATAGCCACCGAGAAGTCCCTAGGAATGGTTGCTAAACCTTCACCAAGTCACTTTTTTCAAAGTACACAAAATCCGAACATCCAAGTTCACAATGGCAGAGCCACTCAACCTGCAACTATGCTCACCCTGATGCAAGATTTATTCACTTTGTTGAGCAAATTCAAATAACTGAAGAGAAGAATTCCTGACAAAGTGCCTAGCTTCTAACTATCCTCTGATAAGAACTTCCTACTAGTAGAAATAAACAATTTTGGAAGAATACATGTTATTTTACATAAAATAAAAGAGTATGGGAAAACTGTGCCTGTATTATATAAATTCTCTTCTTCTTTTATTTTATAGTTTTGCATGTTCCAAATGCTTTCATGTACTAGCTCATTTGATCTTCATGGCAAGCAATTCAAAGCTATTTAAGTTAGCAATTTCTTGGCATTCTTAATATTCAAATCATTAAGCAAAGCAGCAGTATTCATGACTCACACAATCACTTAAAAGAAAAAAGGAAAAACTCGTAAATTCCTTCTTTTTTACCAAATACAAGATGGTACAGCTTCCATTTATTGTGGTGGTTCATCTATAATCACACTGAGAAAGGAATGGAGCAGGACAGAAATTAAGAGGTAAATAATCCAGCAAATCGTGAGAATCACTAAACCATCTTGGTGGTTCCTACTCTTTAAACAGGTATATCAATGATGCTGATAGCTCACTTAATACCCATTTACAAAACACAACACAGCAGTGCATGGTAGTTGGATATATTAAAATGTCTATATTTGGCAATTAACTTAAAATATATAAAGACTTAAGGGAAAATCATGAACAAATAAAACAGTAAGACCAATGGTAATAGCAAAAAGTAAGGTACAGAAGAAAATTACTTGATCGATTCATTTAACAAAGTTAACATGTATAAATCTAAACATGACTGTAAAAACTATACTTACAAATGCAAAATAAAATTTATTAAATTGAAGAAAGTTAAATACCAATGAACATATTCCACCAACCAATTACTGAAGGAACCTATAAACATTCTAAAACTGAATTCTGTAAGGTAAATACCTAGTCAGAGATGAAGCCTTGGGAGGTTAAGATCAGGAAGATTGTGGTTAGAGGCTAGCCTGAGCAAACAGTTCACAAAATTCCATCTCCAAAATAATCAGAGCAAAATGAACTGGAGATGTGGCTCAAGGGGTAGAGTGACTGATTTGCAAGCACAGAGCCCTGAGTTCAAACCCCAGTCCCACCAATTTATTACTCAAACGACATAGGCTTGTAATGTTTTAAAACTACAAAAAAGTTTTCATCTCCTAGCTTCAGTATCTTTAAATTTGATTAAGTATAAATTACCAAAATAAGTTATCCATGAAACCTGTTACTATTTTTTCCACATGAATCTTCACTGTCAGGGGCCATTCACATCTTTAGAAGCTTGGGGAGCTAGGATCCATAAACATAAGTAGACACTGGAAGAAAACGGATCACAATTTTCTTATTCTCTAGCAGCCCAATGAAGACCGAAAAGCTCAAGTGAGACAGAATGAAGGAAGATAAGGAACTCTTGCTGACTTGGCAAAGAGACAGTTTAGTTTAAGGTGGGTGTCCAAGACCAGCTTTTCCCTCATTTCTGCTTATGACCTGGGTGGGAATGGACAAATAGACATCTTTTCAAAATGAGCAAAGTATCCCTATAGGTGATGTTCGAGGCTCAGACTTTACCATATTTTTAAAAAACAGAAATCATTAAGGAAGCATTACATGGCTTATTCATACACATGACAAAGATCTAAAACACATTTTATAAAATACAGTTGTGTCTCACCTATATTTTAGGGCCTTCACTGGAATTTGCAAGAGACTTCCTCCTTCAAATGGCAGATGCACTGTGTCATGGTCATCTTGAAGCATTCGTTCAGCCTCCTTAGAGCACAGACATCAGGAGATTACTTTCCCCACAACGGTCCCAGGGGGATCCATCACTATACAACATCTTAAACTGACAAGACATCTGCCTTACTGGAAACTGCATTTTACAATTACCAGCACATACTAGTAGCATAGAATGAAAACCACCACTTATAAAAATTTGAAACTATTCCAGCAGAGGGGGGAGATAGGGAGGATGATGGAGAGGGTGAATTCTACTATGATATGTTGTTAAGAGCTTTTGTAATGTCACAGTGTACCCGCAGTACAACAATAATAAAAATAAAAAAAGGATTTTAAATGGTGTAACTTTCACTTCTGAAAATGAATCATTCATTATTTAAAAACTGATTCAAGTATATAAATCAACTTACAACATAGGTATATAATGACAGAATTTTGTGAAACCTTACGTATCTTATCATAACACAGTATGAATAAAGGTTAGCTTGTTTAAGGCAGGATCTCTAAACCTTGGAAACACTGACATTTAGGGCATAAAAATTCTTTTTGTAGGGGAAATCCTGCAAATACAAGATACTTTATATCTTCTTAGTCTTCTACCTATTGGATGCCAGCAATAGCCCCTTTAGTTATGACTCAGACATTGAAAAAATGTCTCTTGGAGTGGAAGTGACTCCAGGTTAAGAATGTCCAGACAGTGGACATGGACTCCGAAGGGTGGCACACACCTGTAATTCAGCTAGGAGGCAGAGATCTGGAGGATCACAATTTAAGGCCAGCCCAGTCAAAAAGTTAGTGAGACCCCCATCTCAACAAACAAGATGGGCACAATGGTTCATTTCTGTAATGTCAGCTATGCTGGAGACGTAGGCAGGATGATTACAGTTCAACGCTGGACCCACCCAAAAATGTGAGACCCTATCCGAAAGATATCCAAAGCAAAAAGGGATGGAGGCATGGCTTCAGTAGTAGAGCACCTCCCTAGCAAGCACAAAGCCTTGCATTAAAACCCCAGTACTGCCAATAAATAAATAAATGCCACTTTTATTTTTGTTCTATGTGTCACTGACCCTTAGTCTAACTGACACAGGAAGTAATAGACAATCTGACCTCCGAATCATATAAGTTGTATTCTAATTGAAAGAAAATTAACAAAAGCCAATACATATTCACACCTGCAACTTTAAAGATAATAAAATTCATCATTCAAAATTTTTGAAGCCTCAAATATTCTAAAGAATATCCTAGTTATAGGTTTTGTTGAAAGGCAAACATAAAACCAGTAATTTTTCAATCTACATTTAAGCAGAAATATGGCATTTAAAACTGTATCTTTCCTCTTATTATCTTTGATTTACAAACAATATTCTGAATGGAAAAATAAGCGAGGCACTATTTATGATGCATATTCAGGGTCTACTTATTAAGTAACAGCACAAGCAGTTAAAACCAAAACAAAAGTAAAATTCACAGTGAAGTATTCATATTTAAATCTCAGTATATGAATCTACTAGAGGCAGTACACGAGACAGCATACAAGATTCAAGTGGTATGTATGTGCCTGTGGTCTCAGCTACTCGGGAGGCTAAGGAGGAGGATCCTTTAACCACGAGTTCAAAACCAGTGTGGGTTTTGAACAGAAGAAAAACAAACCAGGATACACAGTATGCACATATGGAAATGTCAAAACAAAAGCCCCTGTGTAACTATCATATACTAATAAAAATATTTAAAGAATTAAAAAAAGATTTGTTGCAATTTTTTAAAAGATTCTTACTTCAAACCCTCTTTGTCATTAGATACATTGGATTAATAAAAAGCTGTTAAAATTAACATTATGCTATAACTAATAGAGCATATGACGGACCTACAGTGCAGATTATTTTATGAATTAAAACATGCTTTAATACTGCTAAGACCTCTAATTCTTCTATTATTAAATACATGTAATATGTAACTTTTTAAAGTATTATTTTATGTATTATGTTCTTGTACAGAGCGGCAAGACGGTGAAGAGGGGCCAAGCTGGTAATTGGGACAAGTTACCTAGCTCCTCTTTGCGTCAGTCTGCTTATCAGCAAAATGGGGATAAGAACAGTGCCTGCTCTTCACACAGTTCTTAGGATGATTTAAGGACTTGATCCAAGTAAGGTGATTAAAATAGTGTCTCCTGTATGTTCAAGGTATAAACAAGAAAAGGACGCAAATCTAAAATTCTTGAATTTTTACCTCTTTCTCTTTCTTCTTTTTGTCATCTTCTTTCTTTTTCTTACTTTCTGGCATGAGATCATCAAGCCAACTAAGTTCTCTCTTTGTGAAACACAGGTCCATGAGCTTACGTACAAACACTAATGCAAGAACCTTAAAAAGTGGAGGAGGAAATATTTAGATACATAATATTAAACCATCACTCAAAAGAGGAAGGAAAGCATTTATAAACATTATAAATAATGGGAAACAGCTTCATATATTTTGTTTAAAAATTATTTCATGTTTGGGGGATGTGGCTTGAGTGGCAAAGAGCTTCTCTAGCAAGTGTGAGACCAACTTCACACCCCTGTATTGCCCCCAAAAAAGAAAAACTTATTTCATACGTCATCTTATTGCAAAGAAACTGAATCAATTTTTATCTCTTTAAAATGCTGGGGGGGAAAAAAGCTACAAAGGGAGAAAAGTGAAAGTGGCATTCTTAACCTCCTGCATACATTCTTTGCATTCTATAAAATTCTTTAGCATTAGACTACAGTACCTATTCCAAGCATCAAGTTTTAGTTTTTGGACCATATGGGAGAAAAAGACACACTTTAATTTCCTTTAACTGCTCCTAAGAGTGAATGATTATATTTCAAATGTGGGTGTCTGGTTGGATTTTCTCTTCTGCTACTTCCTGTAGGATCTTATGACTTTAGTTTATGAATTCTTAAATTAGATAGAAATTCTCTACCTTCCTCTCAGTTCATAATCAAATTTACTGTTTATGATGCTTGTTGAACAAATAAGAAACATTCAATCATCATAGGATCAAATATATTTAACTTTCTTTATAGGTGGATTTCCCTGTTTCTCCATCACTGGGTCACTCTCTACTACAACTTTATTTTATCATTTCAAAGTCTAGAATTCATTTATGATTTCTTTCTGAATATGGCATCAGATTGGGAGCACAAACTTATTTACCTTATTTTTCCCTCCAGAGTTCACTTCCAATACCGTATATTAAATTTTCCCACAGAACTCAAATACCACCTTTAATGAAATAATCTGCTTATTGTATTCAGGTGATATTCATATAAATTTCTGGACTTATCAGTCTCTTTGATCTATTTGTTTGCTGCTATTCCAATTCTGTATTATGCTGGTTAGTCTGAGCTAACAGCAATTTTTAAATATATGGTTATCCTCCAGGCACAATGATGTCTGTAATTCCAGCTACTTGGGAAGTACAGATTGGGAAGACCATGGTTCAAAGTCAGTCTAGGCACAAAATCAGCAAAAAAGCTGGGTGTGGCATGTGTAAGGATGATCATGGACTGAGGCTGGCCCAAGGCAAAATGTGAAAACCCTACCAGAAAAATAGCTAAAGTAAAAAAAAAAAAAAAAAAGGCAGTGGGGGAGGAAATTGGGTGAAGATGTAGGCATTGCTCAAGTATTAGACCTGCTTAGCAAGCATAAAGCCTTGAGTTCAAACCCCAGTACCACAATATAAACAAAAGAATGGCTATCCAAGCAGTATGGTTTAAATGCAGAACAGTCAAGCATTCCGTCCCTTATCAGAGTTATGTTTGTTATATTCTGGTATTTATTATACCTTTACTTCTAAGGAGTGTACAATTTCCACAGAGTGAATAGAAAAGTAGCATGTGTACAGTTGAAAGACTATGACATATTATATACTTACATAACCCACCCTCAAATAAGATACAGAACATTACATGTTCTTTTAAGTTTGGCATTTATTTTTCTCAACAAGCTTTAAAATTATCCATTTCATAGTGATTCTATCACCCCCCCAACAGATGCGTTTCAAATAAGACGCTAGTAAAATTTACACTTGGGACTGTATTGTATTTGTATGCGATTTCAGAATGGAGAATTTTATAATATTAAGTCTTCATAACAAAGAACATATATTTGTACATTTGAGACTTATTATATGTCCTTTAATACTGTCAAGTTGAATTCTGTCACCCATTAAAGACAAGTCAAGAGCCAGACAAAAAGGCTCACACCCATAATACCAGCTACTTCAGAGGCAGAGGTAAGACTGCGGTCCAAGGCCAGACCCAGGTGAAAAGTTGAGACCCTATCTGAAAAACAACTAAAGCAAAACGGGTTGGGTTCAAGTGGTGATTGAGTGTGCTCGTGAGGCTGTAAGTTAAAACTCCTGTACTGCCAAAAAAATTTTTTTTAAGTTGAACGGCAAACTCCCGTGTATCTGAGAATATGACCTTATTTGGAAGAGCTGTCACAGATATAATCAGGATAAAGTCACCCTGAAGTACGGCTGGCTCCTCAAGCACTATGACTGGTGTTCCTGTGGGGCAGGGGTGTAGCTCAGAGGCTGTGCTTGCTTACCATGTGCAAGGCCCAGAGTTTGACTCCCGCACCGACTGCAAGTAAACAAGCAAGCAAACAACGTGCATAAAGACACCAGCATTTGCAGACACGGACACGTGAGAAGAACAGTGCATGACGGCAAAGGCAAATGGGAGATATGCAGCTGCTAGCCAAGGAATGCCCAAGACCCCCAGGAATGCACCAGAAGCTAGCAAAGATAGGCAGACCTTCCTGTAAATTTCAGGAGAAACAAGGCCCTGTGCCCACACACTGGTTTCAGACTGTTAGTCTGCAGAATTGTGACACAATAAATTTTTTGCTGTTTTAAGACATGCAGATTGTGGAACTTTGTTAAGGTAGCACTAAGAATACAAACACTATTACAAAGCTTTTTCTTTAAACTTCTTTAAAATTTTTTATTTTAGTTTATTCTTAAACATTTTGTAGTTTTGGGTCACTATTTAAGGTTTTTCCATTGTTAGCAATATTACTGAGACTGAAACTATATAATTTTTATGTTTTCTTACATCTAACTGCCCTATCATAATTCTATTAAGCACTTTTTGTTTTTTTATTTGATTTCAAGAAAAGAGAAGACATACAATTACATTTCTAACAAATATATTGGTGATTCCTTTGATGCTGAAGTACTCTTGTCTACTTAATCATGTTATATTACTCTAAGAAGTACTGCTAAATTTATTTGCTAATATTTTAAGAAGCTTCAATTTATATTAATAGGGCATCACAGGTCTTTTGTAGAAGTTTGTCAAAGTCTCCATCTTTTCCTTTGGTCGCAAACTGTTCAACATCATCTGCTCATTAAAAGTAAGCTATGCACTTAAAGGGCACATCTTTTATCCTTTTTCCAGTCTTTTCTGTGCAACAGAGCTACATGTTAATTCTTCTCCCTCTTCTTTGGTCAGTTTTGGAAATTCATATGCAGTATGTTAATAACTCATTTTTCCCTAGACCAGGGAGCAGCAAATCACAGCTCCTGACCAAACCAGCCAGCCACCTACTTTTGTAGAACATGTGAGCAAAGGATAGTTTTTATAGATAGCAACTGAAATTAATCTGAGAATAAAGGGGTTTTTGTGGGGGACAGGGAGTACTGTTTTGCTTTTTCTTTTTTCAGTGCCTCATGTATGGTAGACAACACTTGAAACTGAATTAATCCTCATATATCCTCAGCACTGATAATAAAGAGTATTGGTCACCTGTGTATGATAGCGCACACTGACAAGCCCAGCTACTTAGGAGGTAGAGATAGGAGGAAAGCCCAGACAAAAAGTGTGAAACACTATTTGAAAAACAACAATACAGAAAAGAGATGGAGGTATGGCTCAAATGACAGAGTGAGACCCCGAGTTCAACCCCAGTATGACCAAAAGAAGAAAAACTAAATAAAAAAGGAAAAACATTGGTAATCATTATCTCTGTATGTTTTTAAAGTCAGGTTTCTATCCAGGGTTTAATTTCCACATACTTAAGATTATTTTAGTGGCTTCTATTGTAATTGGAAAATATTACTTGAGTAATTTTTACAGCTTTAAATTTTTTAAGGTTTTTTTTTTTGTGGCCATATCCATAGCCAATTTTATATAGTATTTATAAAAGGACAAATTTTCTCTATTTATAAAAATGTAATGAATTACATGGATTGTCTTAATAAAGCCATCTATAGCTTAATAACTTTTTACCTTCTAGATTTATCAATTTCTGATATATCTGTTGAAGAACTATATTGTTTGAGTTACTATGCTTTTTTACATTTGGCCATCACATTCATTCTACAAATGTTCTGAATTCTGAAGTTGTTTAAAAGACACAAAACAGCACCCTATTAGCTGAAGGACTAAAAAGTTAAACAAATTTAGAAAATGTCAAGAAAATTCAAATTGAAAAGCAATTGGTTCATAGCTCAGAACATCTGGGAAGCTTAAAATGGATTATTCCTTTTCCCAAGATCAATTATAAGTTTAAAAAGAATTTGCTATGAAAATATACAATCACAGTATTAATTACCGACAAAATAAATCTGAAAAAAGCTTACCATCATGGGAAAAACTACTGCAGCAGGTGAGGCTTTTATCACCCACAACAGAACAAGACAAGTAAGCTGGATGACGGTGAAAATGTGCACCTTCCAGAGAGGCACGTAGCGGAGGTAGATCAGATCAGGCTGGTGCTTGGCAGGCATTCCAAATAATTTTATCCGGTCAAAAAACTATGCACAGAATAGAAGGAAAACAAAGCTTTCAGCAACATTTCCACTATTTAGAAATTCTACTCAATCTTAGGGTTCTGTGTGTAAAATTTAAGCTGTACCTTCTGATAGTACAGAGAGTATTTTACCAAGAATCTCTGGAGCCCAGGAGAGAGGGAGGAAAAAAAAAGAAAGGAAAAAAAAAATACATCAAGGCAATCACTTGAACTACTGCAATTAATCACAAAACTTATGACAAAATGTTTTAATTTGGTAGGCTGTAATCTTTAGATAAACTTATCTTTGAAAACCAAATGCACAATCATTTAATCTCTCTGAACTTTTTTTCTAATATGTATACTTAAAGATTAATAACCTAAACAACTTCTAAGGTTCTCTCCAAGTCTAACAGCACTATTTCTATGAAAATTACTTGAGGTAACCATTCCTAATTTTTCACTCATTGAAAATGAAAACAGGAGCAAATAAATACAGTCATCTTCTTAAGTTTTAATTTCCTTGTTTACAAAATGGAAGTAAGATCAGCCCTAGATCATTTCTTGACCCACGGGGAGCATATCCTAGACTATGAGTTCTTGAGCTGTTTTGAGATGTCATGCCAGCTACCAGCATACATCAATTGTTGACTCTGGTCAACATGCTTTTTCTGAGAAGAGGTAGTCATGTAGGGCCAACTGTAGTGACCTAAATGTTTTTCCTTAAGATTTGTACAAGCCTCTGGGAATCCTAGTAAGTTTTATCAGCTTGTTTTCCAGGAAGTATTATTAAGACAAGACAGAGTAGGGAAATCTCTGGGTTCTAGCTTTGTGTCCATTGCTTACTTACCTAATAAGCTTCCTAAGTCACTCTATTTCTATTTCTTATTTACAAAGTTAGGAAATCATCCTTCCTTCTTTCCCAGCTATCACTTTGAGAATCAAAAAAATAATTCATGTGCTAAACCTTATAAATTATACTGTGCCATACAAATGGCAGGCATCATCATTTTTATAGGAAACTAATATCTACCTTTTCTTTTTCAGAGCTGAAATTGCTGTTCGACATGTTAGAAACAGCACATTTTCCCATTCCAACCTCTTTTGATCCTCCCGCTCTCACTAGACAAGTTTTCTAGTTGGTTTTAATTAAAAACAGGTGAGGCTGTGTAGTTCATGATCTCGTTCTTTTGGGGATGGGTGTGTGGAATGGGCAGTGCATATCAATCATTTCACAAATGTGGATTTTAAAGTCAGCACTTAGAAAACTAATCTGCCCCCAAAATATTAGAGGTGAGAATAAGTCACTTCCATTATAAAAACAACAACAACTTCTGGCAATTTAAAATAGTTCCAAGTTTTATGCAAAAATCACTAAGTACTTAAGACTTGCCTGGATTCCTTTTAATGAGGAAACTCCCATATAAAGGAAAACACCATACAGAACCGGCATTGGAATAAACTGTAAATAAAATTATTATCGTTAGAACTCATGTTATAACAACTATTTCACAATAATGAGTACACAGAGATGTAACTGAGGAGGAGCTACAGAAACAGAATTAAAAGATCTTTCAGTGATGAGGACTGGACCAACCTAACGCTTCTACACCTAAGAAAAGTCTAGTAACAATAAACTCCTGGGAACACCACTGATCTTCCACATGCTACTTCCTAAAAAGGGTGGTGAAAAGCAAGGGCAATGCAGGCAGATGTCTTGGCTTAAAACCAAGTTAAATACTATCAGTTAAAAAAAAAACAAAAAAGAAAACCTACTCAACTTTTTACACAAAACTTAACCTTTCTGCTCTTCAGTTTCTATATCATATTTTTTTGCCAATTAAATTACTTCAAGTACATAAAGCATTCAAAAAACCAACTGATACATATTCATCCCTCAAAAAAGCATTAAAGTCCACTATTGCTTTCAATATCTCTATGGTGCCAATACCTTAAAATAGCATTTGCTAATTACAGTCATTAAAATCCACCTCCAAAATAAAGTCCTTATTACTTTGGCAACTATGGAGATTCCAAACCACCTACCTTGTCCATGCCTAGGCACCCTATAGGAAAGCCTGAGTATCAACAGGCCCCATCAACTTAGCAAAACAACACTCAGCACTCTGACCCAAGTGAGAGGCCTATAAGGAAAAAGACTCAACATAAAAGGAAAACTATATCTACTACACTTCAAATAACAAACATAGTATATTTTTTCCTAGGACTCTGGAAGAAAAAGAAAAAATTCATGAAGAAACAAACAACAAAAAAATCCTCCAAAATTTAAAAACCTAATCAAGGGTAAATTCAAGCATGATATATTTGATACACTGTAAGAACTTTTGTAAATGCCACAATGTACCCCTAACCCAGCAAAACAATAAAAATCAATCAATAAATAAAATAACCTAATCTATATCCTCAGGGAATTCTAGAAAATACTTTGTCCTTTATGGATAAAAGCAAGTTCAGAATACTAGGAAAAATAAATGACCAGAATGAGTATTTCCTAGAAATTAGATATAATTATCAAAATAAAAAGAATTTTATAGTAATAGTTCTGATATGCCAATGTAATGACGTGGGAAATGGTAGAAGTTTTCTTCATTAGTGAGGCGGAAGGAAGAGCAGAACCTAAGAATAAATGCAGAAGGTCTGAGAATTATTTAGTTGTAGAAATTTTAACAAACAGGGAAAAGAACATACAGGAAATTCTCACAGTTGAAGGTACATGTTTCCACAGTGAAGTGGTAGAGATAAGTGAAAAGCTATTGTCTAACTACCCTAAATCTCTAGGTTTTTCTTTTTTGTAGGACTGGGATTTGTGCTTGCAAAGCACACTCTCTAACTGCTTGAGCCACACCTCCAGCCTTTAGCAGCTTCTAGAAAGCAAAAATCAAACACATATCTGACTTCTCATTAAAAAATGGTCTTTACAAAGGCCACATGTTTTCTCTCACGTGGGAGACAGGCACAATACAAGCAATATTATGAAAGGTCACGCTAATGGGAGGTCTTATACAAGAGAGAGGGTAAAAGAAAGAAGGTAAGAAGGTGAATATGGCTAATGTACTTCCTATATAAGAGTGAATGTAGAATTTTTAAACATGCTGAAATCACCATAAGAAGGGGAGTAAGGCAAAAAGGAGAAAAATTGAGGGGATGAACCAATTCAGGTAATAATACATACATACAAACATACATGGAAATGTCACAGGAACCCCCCCCCCTGCCGTAAACAAACAAAAATGCCTGTTTTCAAAACTGGACAGGAAGGTAAAACAGGTCCAGTCTGGGAGTTGGCACCAATGGGAGGGGGAAGATAGAAGGAAAGAATGTAAGAGGGTAGAAATATTATGTACTCATGTTATGAAAAAAGAAAAATGATCTACTAAAACTATTCTAGGAATAGGGGGAAGATAGAATAAAGAAGAATGATAGAGGGGATGAAGTCAACTATGATATATTATAAGAATTTTTGTAAATGTCACAATGTACCCCAAGTACAACAGTAACATGGTAACTGTAAGAAAGAACAAAATAAATAAAAATAAAAATATTTGGAAAGCAAGTGTAAACCAGTTTGTCCCCAAATCCACACATGTAAAAAGAAAAGAAAATCCAGAAAAATTAAAAATAAAGAAAGATCTGTTGCTTTTCCTTGACCCACCCTGCCCCCATTTCCTCAGGTCTAGTTCCCTTCTACCTAAGGAGAGTGACAATAAAGCCCCCTGCGCCACCTCACTCCCTAACCTCATTCCAGCTGGATCCTTCCAACCCAATGAAGAGATGTTAACTTCTACTTGGCCAAAGTCCCAATCCCCCAAAGCTGAAGAAGATCAGATCTAAATAATTAAAAAATAAGTGTATGGTTCCTTTATTCTTACCTCACATACAATATGTTTAAATATGCACAAATTCAGAACATCTGTTTATTCTACACAATTGTTAATTAAAACTTTAAATGTAGGAAAAAAATGGTCTCTACAAAACACTGAAGCGGTGATTTTAAGACGCAAAAGAGAATTATTTAAAACCTGGAGATGTATATACTAACTATAGACCAAATGTTAGGGTAAATAAAGGTATTTGGAAACCTGAGAACTCAGATTATTAAGTTTATCAATACGGTACTGGATATGAAAAAGAATTCCTTTAACCATACAAGAAAAAGTGGAAGGGTTGGGGGCAAAGTACATGCCTAGAAAGCTGCAGGCCCTGGTGTTCAAAATCCAGCACCAAAAATTTTTGACAAGTTCTAAAAAGGGGAGAAAGGAAATTAAAAAAACAAGGAAAAGAAAAATGGAAACTTGCACATACTATTTTTTTAAAGGGACATTAATGGATATTAAGGGCTGTTATTTGTTAAGCATCAAGACTTTGGTGAAAAAAAGTGTATTTCTGCTTCCATCATGGTCAGTCACACTGGTGAGACCTCAGCAAATATTTAATCATCCTAACACTGTGTTCCTGAAGGTTTACATTTTTATAATTTAACTTAAGAGTAAAGCATGGAAGATTTAATTATCAAAACAGAACTAAATATTAGTAACTTTTTTTGTTTGATTTTTTTATTTTAGCTGTTTTGGGGTTTTGAAGTCAGGGCTTTGCATTTGGTTAGGCACACCTTCATTACTGAATAATATTACTTTTCTTTGATTGCCGTTTTTTTTTTTTTGTGGTACAAAGGTTTGAACTCAGGGCCTCCCACTTGGTTGGCAGATGCTCTACCACAGGAGCCATGCCTCCAACTCAGTATTAGTAACCTTTGCAATAATAATAATAATAATAATAGTACTAACAAAACTAAAAGTGTGACCCAAGCCTTGTATGCACATATGAATAATAAATAAATAAATAAATAAAACTATGAAACACACAAAAAAAAAACAAAACTAAAAGTGAAGGTCAATGAAAGGCAGGAGGTGGGAGTGTGGAAATGGAGCAGGGACACACAGCATGCTGAAGTCATCCTGAGAGACAGTGCCTTACGCAGAGACTCTCGAACTTTTGTCTCAGGACTTCTTTATACTCCTGAGGACTCTCCCCCATCTCCTCAAATGTTTTTGTTTAAGTGGGTTATACACATGAATGCTCACTATATTTGAAATTAAAAGAAAGCTTAAAGCTGTTTTTAATTTTAAAATAATAATAACCATAATAAGTTAACATAAAGGAGCATATTTAATTTCCAAAACAATAGGAAATTAGAATAATGGCATTGCTTTACATTTTTGTAAATCTCTTTAGTAGCTGGCAAAATAAGAGGACAACTAAATTGTCGTATTTGCATCTACACTTCTACTTACTACCATATGCTGTTTTGGATGATACACAGGAAAAAATCCTCAAAAGTTACAGAGGATTTGGAAAAGGAAGGACCAGGCAGATCCCTGGCAGGATGCCAGGGCCTCCATGCAGTCCTTGGAGTAGACTGAGAATTACTACTTTAGGTATAGAGGTTCAATCTAAAAATAATAAATTAAGAAATGAAATTATAAAAATACTTAAAACTACTAAGAATAACTGTAAAAAGAAAAAGGTTAAAATTTGCTTTGGAGAGTTGCTTTTGAAAAGTGAAAGAAAACATGGAAAATAGCATGCCTACAAAATTCTCCAAGTATATTCTGTCCTTTTAAATAATCTCTAAAGCATTGATTAGTTCTTTCCAAAACTATGTAGTCCTTAATGACTTTTTTACATATTTTCAATGTATATACCTACCCCTGAAATGCTTATTATACTAAAAATCTTACCAAATATTATTTCCCAGATTACAATGCTTATAAAATTATAAGGAAAATTGATTTCAGATATTCAAGCATATTTCAATGTTTGATTTTCATACAGTATAAATAATATGCTAAGTAAGAGTTTAAAACACTACAGTAAAGAGATTTTACCTTTAGTACCGAAGTCATGAACACAGAGAGGCCCATTAGAATAAAAATCATTAGTCCTGTAACCCGCTGTTCACGAATTCCCAAAAACTTGGGTTGTTCCCCTGGAGCAGAGCATTCAGATTCAACTTTTAAGCTGTTGACGTGACTTATTGACAACACCGTTGCAGCCACAAACCATGGAAGTCCCATGACAGAGCAAACTCCCAACATAACACCGACCATGAGCAAATCAAGGTGATAGCCAGCTCCTTTCTGAAAAGTGAAATGAACACAAGCACTGTAAGTCTCAACTCTTCTTTCAGGTTAAAGCTCTGTATCAATTCAAAGAACTGAAGAGCCAGGCACCAGTGGTGCCCACCTGTAATCCTAGCTACTCAGGAGGCAGAGATCAGGAGGATCTCTGTTCGCAGCCAGCCCTAGGGCAAGTAGTCTGAGACCCTAATACCCCATTACAAAAAAGGGCTGGCAGAATGGCTCAAGCAGTTAAGAGCACCTGCCAATCAAGCATGAGACCCTGAGTTCAAACCCCAGTGCTCCATTGCTGCCAAAAAAAAAAAAAAAAAAAAAGTATTATCCTAACGTTCTAATTATTATGGTAACACCTCAAACCTGTGAAGAAATCACATTACCTTCAACTTGTGCTCCTTTCTGTTTATGATTACAGCTGTAATTTGCTGATCCATAAAGATAAGAATGGTACAAAGCAGAGCTGGAATAGCAGCTATTAATAAGGTCCACCAAGCATTATCTCCCAATGGGCTTATGATCCAACCCCTATTTGGATCAGTAGGCTGTTAAAAAATTAAGGAGAAAGAAAATAAGTTTCATTCCTCTATTGCAATAAATTTCCACAGCATAAACTGGGTCTATTCCAAAAAATTACTTGCCCTCTTTTTCATGTAGAACTGGAATCTACTTCCTTTCCCCCTGTACCAGGGACGACCTTGTAACTTGAACACACAAAATAAGGACAAAGTAACCTTGTATGATTTCCAAGTCTTGAAGTGGAGAAATCTACAGCTTCTTCTGTAACCTTTTTAAAACTCTGAGACTGGCCCAGTCTCAACCATCACAGAATTTAAACCAATAAAGGGTTAGAGGGAGTCTGCTTTGAAACAATTTGTAATGCAAGCAAACCAGTGTTGTTTCAGCACAGTCCTACATACTTCACACAATCTTCCTCCCAGATCAACACCAAACTATACTGCATTAGAATTCACGGTGGGTCTGGTGCTAAGTTAGAACTGACCTTTTAAGGACACTATTTTCCCAAACAACTGCTTGACAAAATCTGGCTCTTCATCAAATATTCATACATTGCAATGCTGTACCATAAAATTTATTTTTACATCAAAATTCTTTTAAAAGATCTTAAGAGTTTAGTATGCTTGGAGGATACTGGATATACTGCAACTTAAACCTATGTCATTACTAAGACTTAATAGTAAGCCTGTTTTTCATGAAAAGATTTATTGATACTGAAGGGAAATTTAATAATTTCTATATTCAGGTACTTGAATTCTCTTCCATGTATACATTAAATGTGCTAGGTAAGTACTCTAGTATTAAGCTATATCCCCAGCCCTTGCTTTTTTCCAAGAAAGGGTCTGGGTATGTAGCTCAGATCTTGATCTTGCTATTCCTTGAACTCATGATCCTCCTGCCTCTGCCTCTTGAGTGCTGGGATTACAGATATACACCACCATGTATGGACTAGACTACTTATTTATAAAGGAATAGAGAATATTTCCTTTACCTTGGAAAGTGCAACAAAAATTCCAGCTAAGAGTGCACAGCTCATTTTTTAAATGGATCACAAAGCTTCACCAATGACAATTTCATCCATTCTGAGGGACCAGCTTTGGTACTTTTCTTCAATAAATTCACATATATAATTTTCCCTTTGAAAACATTAGCTACCCAGATGCAGCAGCTCACACATGTGATTCTCGGTACTCAGGAGGTAGAGATCAGGAGGATCGAAGTTCAAGACCAACCAAGGCAAAAAAGTTGGTTGAGACCTCTTCTCAACCAATAAGCCAGGTGTGGTGGTACATGCCTGTGATCCCAGCTACACAGGAGGCCACTGGTAGGAAGACTGCAGTCTGAGGCTAGCCCCGGCAAAATGTGCAAGACCCTACCTGAACACTAACAAAAGCAAAAAAAAAAAAGGGGGGGGGGATGTAGTTCAAGTGGTAGAGTGCCAGCCAAACAAGCATAAGACCCTGCTTTGTTCACAAAACAAAAACATAACATCAGCTCTCCAGAGGGAATACATTTATTTTTAAAATAAGTAATTAGGAGGTATTATCTCACTTTAAAGTAGTTTAATATTTCCAACTAACAAAGAGTCACATGCTTTAATCCTTACCTCAAATTTTTCAGGAACATGAAGCTTAGGAGATGGAACTCCTACAAGGTAGTCAATGGCAACCATTACTACTATTGTAAGAAATACAGCAAAGTCACTGATTGTCGAACGCACCTATGTTAAAGGGATGATGCAAATATAAGCACAGGAACATTACTCCTTTCTAAATAATTCATATCGTCCACAGATAAACTATGTGACTAAGAAGTATGAATGAATTTTAGTTACTGACAATATTACTGGCAATATGCCTCTAAATCCAATGCTTTCCCAAAAACTAGGGTGCCCTTTCTCACAGTACCATTTACCTTCCTAGTGTGAGTTCAGACATGTTAATACACATTTCCATTATAAATAATTATTTAGACCTATTTGGCATGAAGTGCTAACCTTAAATAATACATTGTTTTAAAATAACCAAGAAAATGAAAACAGAAAAAATGAATTATCATAATTTCAAAATGACATCCCAGGTACCTTGGTAGGAAAATAACGCTTGGTCTTAAATTGCTTGAGGAATGAAGACAGAAAAAACGTGGTGAAAAATAAGATGACACACCAAAAGAACACATCTGGTCCATGAAGGCTACAAGTTGATCCTATGAATACACCATGAAGGGTTTTACATTCCTGGGGACAAAAGGGGGACATAGATTTTTAAATATCCAGTAAATTATTTATGAACTTCACTGAGTCTTAAGATACAAATTTTACATTTTACTAACAGCAACAACAACAACAAAATGTCAAGCCAACTATACATCATCAATTAACTGCAGTATTTGGTGAGTTTAGAGATGTTATGATCTGTCCATCAAAATTGCTGAAATTTTTAAGAATATTTCAACAAGTTACTTCTTTCTTTCAGTTACACCTCCCCTCTAGGGAAGCACTCATATTTTACTCTTTCCTTTATTTCTGAATAGGTGCTTTAAAAAAAAGCAGGAGACAGAAAACTACTACTATGCCCTGTTGTGACGCAGAGCAGGAGAGAGCTACAGTACTGCACTGAAATCAGCAATAATCACAATGTTGACTCTTGTGACTTGATTGGAGAGTTTGGGATTAAAAAGCACGGTCTTTCATGAGCAGTAAAATGGCCATTAAAATTCTCCTCAGCATGCCTGGCTTTGAAACTGAACTTTTTATTAATTTTAATAGTTTAATCTTAAACATATGTAAATGGCTACTATCCAGGTCAGCATAATCTTAAATGACTGATGGGATAAAACATCAGATGGTATCTTTCAAACTTACCTCTACATACAATAACTTATAGGATACAGGGAATTTGACTTTAATTCTGGCTGTTGTTATCACTTTACACGTTCATGCCTAACTCCTAAACTTGCACTGCTTGTATATTCATACGCAGTGCAGTATGGATATTCTACTGGGGATAACAATTCCCAACAGAATAATAGTGCCTGGAATAGTATTCAGCACGAAGTATATTCCTTAATACTTTCATCAGCCTGGTGTCTAAAGGCTGAAAAGCGTGTTACATCTTGCAAGTGAGATTCAGGCCATTTCATTTCCTTTGCCACCACCATTCTCTTCAGCCTATTCTTTCTAATACATGACACACAAAAAACTGGCAAGAACTACTTGGTTAAGTATATGAAAATATACCATATGTGCACTGACTGAGGAAAACGTTAAATATAATCAGAGAAGGATAAAGAATTCAGATTAATATAATTATTTATAAAATCCTTTATTTCTTAATATACTTACAGGAACAGTGAGATTCCCCCAGGAAATACTCTGTGCTGTTACATTTTTTTTCTTCCATAACTCTAGAGTTTCATTGCTAGGGTTAAGAGGTTCAGTGCATACACATCTGAGAAATTAGAGCAGAACAAATTATTAAGGATCCTGCATTTCATGCATAAATTTTACTAATCAACTGCATACTGTTGTAGCTTTTTAATCTAACTTTTTTTCCAGGTAGCAAAGTATGGAGACTGGAAAGTGAAAAATGTTATCAGAAACAACAAAATGGAATGTGGTTTGAATGATATAAATAAAACCAATGCAAAATATCAATAAGATATTTACTTTATAAAACATATCACTTGGGAGAGGCATTATTTCCTTTAAAAATTTATGAAGATACCACCATAAGTAGCCAGACTGTTCTCCACTAAAGCTATTTTCTCAGCCTTCAGAGTAGTTACTGCTGTCTTCTGTTGCTTCCTGCAACAGTAAGTACACATTTCTGATGAAAGTTAAGACAACAGCCAGGAGAGATAGCTCATACCTGTAACCCTAGCTACAAAAGAGGTAGAGATAAGGAGAATCATAGTTCAAGGCCAACACAGACAAAAAAGTTAGTGAGATTCTACCTCAACAAATAGGCTAGACATGGTGGCACAGGCCTATTATCCAGCCAAACAGGAGGCATAGGTAGGAGAATCACAGTCTGAGACCCTATCTGAAAAAATAACCTAAAAGTAAAAAGGGATGAGGATATGATTCTGGTGGTAGAGCGCTTGCTAGGGCACTGGGGCCCTGAGGTCAAATCTCAGTACAACAAAAGAGAAAAGAAAAAAAATTTTTACTACTATACATTTATCTCCCCCTCACCTCTGCCCCATGATTGCAATCAAACCCAGGGCCTCACACAGGCCAGGCAAGTGCTCTATCACTGATCTATACCCCAGTCCTTAAGATTCATTCTTCAAGAGAAAAATAAAATAGTTCTCATCAGGACAGGACTAGGAGATTCATAAGATGACAAGAGTCTTCAGTTCACATCTAGAACTACTTCAACTGCCTAAAAAACACACACAAGCGAATGTAAATAAAAAAACATGAAATGCAAACACGAATACTCCCAATTACATTGTGAACTGTTTGAGAAAAGGTAAGCTGGACTGAGTCTACCTGGCTCTATTATTTGTTAGCTACTTGATAAGGGAAGTTTAATCTCCAACAGCTTCAGTTTCTTCAGACACCAAAGAGGCAATGGTATTAAGTAACACTATGATATGAATTAGGGAACACTGTGAACACAATGCCTGTGGATATTCCCAGAAAGATAGGTGAATAAATGCTGTTCACATGCAATGACTAGGTTAAACAAAAGAAAACATTGTTCTACCTGGCTGGCACTAACAATAAAAGCCATGCTTCATAAAGGTCCAAAGAATAAAGGACAGTGAAACAGAGAACACAAAAAATAACATTACAAACAGCAAAGCATATAAAGCAATGCATATGAAACTACAAAAGACAACACATAAGAGATTTAACATCAAAGTGTCTGTTTCTACTATTTTCCTCTATGTCAATGTCTTAGAGGAATGTTCTCATCTCTCTTTTCTTTTCCCATCAAAGTTAAATGTGAGCAAGGAAGAAAAAGAAGTTGCTGGGGGAGGGGAAGTTGTGAATAGATAGGATAAAGTATGGAGGAAAAGGAAGAATACAGGGATTTGGGGTTTAGGTGGTTAGGAGAAAGGTTGCAGCCTTTTGTTGACCACATCAGTCAAAATAAGTACCACATTAATACCAAATATGATTGCTAATGAAAGCAAATACAGGCATCTTCTTAGATATGTGATTACTTCCCAATGTATACATTCAAGAGTTTAAAATCATTTTCATTTCATTCTTTTCTTATCATAAAAAACAGTTCAGTGAGTAGAATATGAAATATACTAAAATTCTACTTTAAAAGACAAGTATTAATAAGCCTTAAAAATATTAATTACATTCATGCTTCAGCATCATAGATGCTACAGTTGGAACTATGCAGAATAAATGAGAGTGGCCCCTACACAAGGAGGAAAAATTCATAACATGTGAGGAATATATAAATATAAAAGCATGTATCTTACATCCCAGCATACACCTAAAATTTGGTTGAAGAATACAAGAAAATATTTGGTAGGTTAGGTGTCTATCAAATTTAAATTGGCCAATCTAACTCAAGCAGAAGACTAAAATACACACACATGCCAGACACCAGCGGCTCACACCTATAATCTCAGCTACTCAGGAGGCAGAGTTCAGGAGGATTGTGGTTTGAAGCCAGTCCCAGGCAAACTGCCTATCAAGTATGAGGACCTGAATTCAAACTCTGGTGCCAAAAAACACACATATACATGACTAAGTTACTTCAGTGAACAAAAGTGAACAAATCTGGTCAACTGTATTTATGTCCACTGAATGCTTAAGATTTCACCTGAAGCAAACATTTCAGGGTGGATTGGTAGTTTTAACTAGAGACAGTGAGTATCATATTGGAAAAAAAAAAAAGCAAAACATTTTCTTAGACTCCGGGTATTTGGCAAAACTATTTAGTATTTGGGAGAAACAGAAGCACTTACGAGTAGCTGGTCAGCTCATCTAGGTTACTGTGCATATTAAATGCATATACTTTTCCTAAATGAAAGAGCTTCTCCAAAGCTTCATAGATGAATATGATGCAGATGAGAGCTGCAAAAGCCTCTTCTGTAAATCGAGTAATATAACAAACAAGGCTGCTGGCATCTGTTGCAACCAAAACAATGCACAAGAAAGAAGTCCACAGACCAATACTGGTTCTTAAAGATAGATAGGAAAGGGAATAGTCTCTGTTGAAAAAAAGTGTGGACAAGGTCAATACATACATGTGAATACTATTTTTACCTAACGCTTTTTGTACCAAGCAATAAGAACATAAAAATATATGATTCCTAAAAAACAGTGAATTATAGAATGAGAAAACAATGACTAAAGCTCTGTGTTTTTCTACTTCAACTGAAAACTGATTATACTTACATAAAAGACTTACAGTGAAATCTGCTCAGCAATAAATATTTCAGAATCATCTAGCCTCACTTTAAAAATCAGCTACATAGTATAAATTACAGATAAAAGAACAACTGTATCTGACTCCCTTTGAAGGTCAATATGGCAAAAACACTCACAGCTCCAATATCTTGCTATCATCATTACTACCTCCTCTTCCACTGTTATCACTGTAGGTAAGTGACTTTTTATTTTAAATTTCAAGTAGGAATTTATTAGTCTGTATTTCAGCCCTTTCATTCTCTACAGTCAGGTCATTCTCTCGACTTCTCTATGTTCTTTATGGTCATTCTCTATACGTCACATCATTTCTTAAGTATGTAGCATGCCAGATTAGAATCAATGTCATCTTCTTTAGTGAGTACACAATCAGAACTAGAGAATGACAGATCAAATATTCAAAAGCACCAAAGCTGTTTCAAATTAAAATACTGAACTACATTTGTCACAAAGGGAATTTTACTGGCCATGTTGAATTCGACGTGCATGACCTGCAATAAATTGTCTTCACTTCCACATCATGATCAACTTAGCAAGGGGAAACCAACAGTTTATCTGACTGCTTTCATCCCACATCTGTTACACAGGACTAACTGGTTAAGTCCTTTGAGAGCCATCTCTTCCTAGAACTTCCTGTGTAAGACTAACATCACCTAAACAACAGTCCAGTTAAACACCTTACTGGTTAAAGTTTCCTAGCACAAAGGATATTTAATGCTTCTCAAGTGATTTGCTCATAAATACTCAAATACACTGACTTTCACTGGTGGGCAATCTTATATTCCTCATGTCTGAATTACTGAGTAAGGGCCTTGCACAGAGTTGATCACACAGTGAGCACCAAAATACTGAAATACAAATACTGATGAGATCCATTTAAGCTACCATATATACGTATACCATATATCTAATTAGCTTAAGTTAACAAGCAATATAGCATATAACTGCACATTTATACAAATATATGTAGTTGAGTACAGAACTGTTACTTACCTGCAGAATTTAAATAAAATTTTTTCAAACACTAGAACTGGACCTGTGCTCCCCAGTATTGTTAGAGGTTGCCCAGCAAACAATGAATAGGCAATCCCAGTTAATGATGCTCCAAAAAGAGATTCTATCGCACTCTGTTTAGGGAAAGAACAAATGAACTGAAGCAACATATCATAAACATATTTCTAACCTACTATAATACACGTGAGATGTTTGGAAAATAAAAACACTATTGAAGTAGTTAATAAAGCAAGCACGACATCGATCCTTAAATTCTACATATGGAAAAACACATCCTAAATACGTAAAGTTTTTCTTTTTGGACATTTTTCAGTTATCATTAATTCAAAGCTCAATACTATGAGACACAAGAAGCAAATGTAAATGGAAGACACACACAGGGGCTCACCTTTATCTACAGATATTGTATTTTTGTGTCTGTGGCATGTAAAAAAGTATGTATTATTATAAATACTTTTCTGAAATAGTTCACTTAAAAACTAAAACACATTAAATAATATGGAGCTACAGAAAAGAATTTTTCAAATACTTAATAAATTAACATATAAACCTCTTTCTCAAACTTATTTCTAAAAAAACAACTTTCGGCTATTTTAAAGTAATTAATTTAACAGAACAGGCTTTATCAATTGATATAAAAAATGAAATACTTAACATAAAATAAATGAAAAACCTTCATAAAAATTCATAGTAACCATAAATAAGTATCTTATCATTTAAAAAACTCAAGAGACATATTAAATCAAAGCTAATACACTAATCTGATGCCACTACCAGCATTACAACCTTACTGACTAGGTTATTGGATGGTACCCTAGGCCACTAGTCAAAGGAGAGGGATCAGAAAGAATAGGAAAAGTAGTTTACCACTCACAAACATCAAGGACAGCTAGAATGCACTACCCAGAAAGAAAAAGCACACAACTGGCAAAGTCAAGGAAAAGGAGCTTTAAGAAACGGCACTCCTAAAGTTAGATGCAGTGCAAAGACATGGCTGAGTAAGGGACTGACTGGGCACTACTAAGTGTTGAGCCATGGCTGTTACTGAACCTTTTTCATTTCAGAATGGTAACTCAGCAGTTTTCATGAGAACACCCAGCAAAGCATGGCGCCTGGCCCTGAGACATACTCAACAAGCAATAGCAGTTCTCATATCAACTGTAACAACATCTTCCGAAATAACAGTAGATAATAAAAGCACAATTCAAGTATTAGAATAAAAACAAGATGAAAACCACACATGAATTTATCTTTTGGCAACATGGGAAAGCATCCATATTAGCAATGCATTTGATAGTTGTATGTAATAAATGTTTTCTTGCCCATGGAAAATAAGTTTGCACTAGAAAATACTGGTAAGCCATCATAAAATCCTTAGTTCTACTAGAATATTCATTTTAAAAAATGAATTTAGGCAAAGCTAAGTTAAAGGAAAAAAATTATATCCATAGAAAAAAAGTAAAACACTGAGCAGAAAAGATAGAGATAACAAAATAAAACATTTTAACAGGGGCAGATGGGCATGAAACTATGGTTACCCTCCCACAAACTTTAGTTGAAAAACCAAACATGAAACTGCCTTTCCCACCTCTCCCTATCCCCTACTGCCACATTTACAGAGGCAAAACTTCCCCTTACCCAGAAGTACCTTTCTCTAATTTTTAAACTGAAACCTGTCTTCCCCTAAGGAAATCATGGCCCTATTACACTGCCTTTCCTGCCTTACTCCACATCTGAGGAGTTTCCAAGTTACATCAGAAACCCTAATTTCCTTCTCTCACACATGTTGTAACAGCTCTCTATAGTACTTCTCTACTGCTGCACTAAGTTATTAAACATGCCTTGCTGGTTTCTCCTCCCCAAAAGCCCTAATTTTGTTATCATGAATACCTTCATTCAGCTTCAAGAGTTAACAGTACCTGTGCTGGGTCATTATCCTCCTCCATCCCATCCCTCCCATATTCCATACTTCTAGGTAATTTTCCATTTTCCCCTTTTCTCCCCATCCCTCATCTATTCTCAGTTTCAACCTTCACTGGTAATTATGAATGATCCCCAATCTTTATACACTCTAAAAAGTTTGAAACTGAACCTCCTGCTAATGTCTGTTTCTTCAAGTTCTAACAAAGCAACTGGAAGCACACACAACATTGTCATGTAATCTTCCTCCATAATACTCCTGCTTTCTCTGTTTCTATTACTTTACTTCCCACAGCTCTCCCTCATCGGAATCATGTGACCCAGCACACACTGGCAGAACTGTATACAGTACTGCATGTCTGTCACTTAGGGGTAGGATCCGTGCTCCTCTAACACTTCTCCATCCTCCTCTAGTGCAGCCCCCTGTCACATGCACAGGGTATCAAACAGCAGGAGGATACCAGCAGGCAGAAAGTGACAGCCCATGAGCAAAGCAGCAGCATGTTCATGACAGAAACAGAACACATTCCACAGGGACCAGCAGAGTTACATGTACTATTTTGGACAGTATAAAAAGCAGCTTACTAAAAATATATATATTTGATACAATAATTAGAGAATAAGATGAAAAGAATCTAAATGATCAAAAATTATTGAGAGTTGGAAGAAAATTTCAGTATAAAAGCTTATCTCATGTCCAAATCATGAAAATACCTTAATTGAACAATTATCATTACTTAGCTCTAGCTATTTTTAAACCTGTATTTACAGAATTACAAATTTTCCCTTAAGAGTAAATATTGAGTAAAATATACTTGAGAACTTGAGAATTATAAAGCATCTCATTTATAATGCCTTTCAAGATTTTACAAAGCACAACAGCTCCTAATATGGTATTACCAAGTACAGAAAAACATAAGAACTTTAATAGCTACATCAAAGGATGGGGATAACGTTCAATTACGTTTTCCAAATAAAAGCTCTGGCTACTTTCACACAGATTTAATAACAGCGAAATGGAAGTAAACGTCACTTCAAAAATCCATCACCTCTACAATTATGTTCTATTCTTCCAAATAGTCTGGTCTCGGCCTACCAGCCAGGGCTGATGAAATAATATTAATCATGACTCTAATCCTATTTATATCTTACAGGATGAAGGAGACCCATCAGTAAGTTCCCCCACCCATGACTCCCACCCCCAAATCAGTTTGGTCAGTCTCCCCCACAATACACCCACCCCCAGAACACAATGTAAGTGTTTTACTCAAAACCATTCCATCCAGCAAGGGGGGATAAACTTTCTATTTATGTATTTATTTTACCTCAACTGTGCATCTTCTCCTGTTCAAATGGCTCCCCCATGTTTTCCACAGCAATTACCTTTGGGGGAAGTCTGCTTTGGGACAGGTTAATCATGCTGTGGATAGACTCTTCAAATAAAAGTATGAATAGTGAGACAAATGCATACAGACACTTGCCTCTGAAGAGCTAAGAGCCTGGCCACTACCAATCTTTGTACTCACTATGCTGCCTTCTGTAGCTTCTCCAAGCAGCCCTCCAAAAGTGATTACAGGAGACATACAGGCACAGTATAGGAAAAGAATCGAGGCCAGGCACTGCAGGCTTAATGCATCCTTGAAGTCACTCAAGAAAAAAGGTGCTTTCCTTTTGATGTCAAGTATCAAACCACCAAAAAGCCTAAATAGGTGAGATGAAACTCGTCAAACTGTACACTAGAGGATTCTAGCTAGTTCAAACTAAAACTATGGGCTACATAAAACTGCAGGTGCCTAGTGTTTGTCAACAAAAATTAAAATCCAATTTAAATCATGGTATAAATTATAGAAGATACACTCATTGAATCTAATCTAATGATGACTGAGGAAAAGATCGATCTCATTAAGTTAAAAGAGACATACATATTATTTTATGGAATATATACTCGAAAGACTGCAGGCAAATGATTTTATATGAGTAAATGTACCTTTGGACAATGTGTAAGGAAATGTACCATAAACAAAATCTAACCAGCCATTCATAAAAATGTGCATAAACAATTATATTAATGATTATCTATATCATAAATCTTAAAAGGCAATGGTCAGAAATACCAAGAAGATCATTAAATCCAAATGTCCTTTCTTATGAATGCAGTATGCTGTGCTTTAGGTGCACAATTAAGTGATCATTTTAGTAATTTTGAACATTAGTGCCTTCTTTATATGAACATTTCTGTCTAGGAAAAAGAAAACCCTTAAAAGCTATCTCAGGGCATTTAGTTTACTAAGTCAGTATATTAATAAATTAAGAGATTTACTGAGTGTATTAAACATCTATACTTATGTTAAAACATCAATGCCATACCATTTTAACTTGTTTTAGACATTGTACTTTTAAATAAAACTAACTTGAAAGTGTCCCAATAAAAGATAAGTTCTTGTGAGAAGCAAAAACTTTTTCTTATTCACTGCTGTTATCTCCAGTGTCTAGAACACAAAACACTGACTGGAGGAGAGGAAGCATTAAACAAAGCAAATACTGGTGACTGAACTGATAATTCAAAAGAGCTTTATAACTAATAAAACAGGTAGTCATTCAAATACTAAATGCAAGAAAATAGACAAATTAAATGCTTTGGATGTTTCAGCTTTAGCATTCTTTTTTTTTTTTTTTAAGGTAATACTGAAATAAATCCTAAACATACACTGAACAAGTAGAACTTACTATACAAACAATCTGACAACAAGAGGAATCAGCTTTCTCTCAAAATAAAAAAAGATACCAATGATAATTTAGAAAATGAATCTCTATCATCAAATCAATAATTGATGACTTCACAAAGATGGCTTAAAGAGGTTCTCTTTAAGCATCTGTGACTGTGAGTCCAATAAGCAACTAACTTGGTGCTTCTCAGGGACTAACCCTATCTGCTTGAAGTTTGAAGAAAAATACTATCTAGTAGGAGACTAGCACTGGGTTCACAGGGATGGAGTCTTATTCTCTACTAGATTTCACAGACTAATACATTTCATGAGCCAATTAATTCACTGTGGATTTAAGCATCTCTAAAGTTTATATTCAGTATGCCAGTTATTTATTTTTCTCATGTATAGTACCCTTTAAGGCACGTCATCAAAATCCCTAAAGGTGTGTCTGTACATGATATCCTGGTTTTATAAACAAAGATTTAAATTTGAGATTCACTATCTTTTAGTTGCACACTGACCACCAGTATACACTAGGGTATCAATAGCACTGTAACATGTACTTACTTCTACAAAATATTTTAAGCATACTTTAACATCTTGTTCTTGGCAATATTTGTATTCCTTATACTAAAAAATTAAATTTTAATTTTCTAACAATGATTCCATAGATTATTAATGAAAGTTTACCATGCTTATCCATCTAATCTTAGGGTGTCACATAATATAATGTCCATTTAAAAGTTTTAAATCTATGTACAACACACCAAAATCATTCATAATTCCTCTTTTTTCCCTTAACTTGGCTTAAGAACATTCTGTACAGCCAACAGAAATTAACCTACATACTATATAACTCAAATTTCTGAGCATATGGTACATTAATTTCATTTTAACTGAAGTTTGGTACAGTTATTATTTTTAAATGCATACAAATGTTCCTTAATGTCATTCCTCATATATTAACGCACATTTTTAAAAGCATGAAAGAAATATTGCATAAAACTAGCTTCCAAATACTTGGAAAGAAAAAGAATGTCAGTGCAGTTTCATCCAATCAAACCCTAGTCTCAAAGAGTATCAGCATTTGTACCCACCGTCCAGTCCTCTGTAGCTCAGGTCCAGCATGATGACCAGCCTCCTTTGCAGTCTCACAAGATGTGGGGACAGATCCATTAGGAAACACAGGGATCTTTCTCTTTTCCTGAATTTCAGAAAACATATTTTCAGAATTCTATTTTTAAAAAAACTGTAACAGTATCTTTGATTAGAGGGACTATCAGATCTCATTTGGCTTAGATATCTCATCAGTGCTCCTAGAAAAAAAAGGCTTCCTAGTGTGAACTTCCTTTTACAATAAACTGCACATTAGAATAGAATCTAACATCTGTTTTTATTCATGTTTTAAATTTATGATTAATGTTTTGCATATATTTAAATATACTATAAAACACATTCATACATACTATTTCAAGTTACTATTCTGCAACAGGTATGATCATAAACATCCTTCAAAAAGCTTATTTCTCACCAAAATTTTTTAAATATTGTTCATGTTAACTACTGAATAACACAGTAATTTTTTTAAATGCAATTTTTCTTTTACTAAAATATTTCCCTTTATAAAGTAGAACAGAGCTGTTTCTACCCTTCACATGTAGACAAAGGAACAGGCTTTTCTTGTGCTACCTTAAGGGGCTAAAGGAAACACACATGCACATGTAAGGGGAAAGAGGTAGGGAAAGGAGGCAGAACTAGAGACAAAAGAGGACATTCCATGCGGTACCCTGAAGTCAAAGGCTCTGGAAGTACAGACTTATATGACCTGGTTTACAAAATAGTTAGACTCATCTGTAAATACAGGATTACTGTTTGAAAATGTCAAAATTAAAACTGGCTTACATCTTAGATCAAAGAATAAAGAGAAAATAAAATCATAGAATTTCTAGAAAACAAAAATAATAGAACACGTGACTTAGTATAATCTATGGGATATAGCTGGAAAAAAAAAGGTAACTATTAGGTAGGGAATAGTGATACATTCCTATAATCCCAGCACTCAAGAGGCAGAGGCAGGAGGATTGAGAGTTTGAGGCTAGCCTAGGCTATACAGTGATATGCTTTCTCTAAATACATACATACATACATACATACGCATCTATATTAAGAAAAATTTAAAAGGAAAATATCAATCACCCAGGAAATGTGAGAGAAAACAAATCTTTACTGAAAGAAAATGGAAGGAATGAAGTAAAATAGCTAAAAGCAGAACAAAGAAAAACACCATATTTTTTATATGTAAATTTGAAATGAATTTGAAAAGGTGCTCTGGGCTAGGGATGTAACTTAAGTGCTCTGTTTCAAAACCATGATAGGTAATTAGCTTGTTAACTAAACAACATAAAATACAATAAGAAAATAACTTCACAACCAAGGAAAAATACGAATACACACACTAACAGAGGCGCAACTCTTCTCAAGAAAATGAAAACTCTGGATGAAATGGATAATGTACCAGGAAGAAATAAACTGGCCCCAGGGGAAAAAATGAGAAACCAATTTCCATAGAAGAAAGCAGCAAGTGATTAAGTCTATCACTGACAAAAGATGCAAGTTCAAAAAATTTCACCAAGGAGCTTTTCAAAAACAAGTAATTCCATACTATTTAAACTGCTCAGAAACGTGTATGAATCAATACACATTTGTTTTTATAAAACAAGTGCAATGACGACACCAACACATGAAGATGGCACAAAAAATTCACAGACCAATCTACTTACAAATAATAACACAAATAAAATAGTAGGCATGGACTATTAGCACTCACATTTACAGGTGCAGAATAAAAACTAGAAGAATAAAAAATCACAACAAATGTTCACCCACAGGAGGTGGGTTTGGAAGAGACTAGTGATGTGACTTAAGCAGTAGAGCACCTGTCTAGCAAGTGTGAGGCCCTAGGTTCAATCCCAGCACTGTTAAAAACAAAAATAAAGTTAAAAGGGATAAGGTGCAGGTACAAGTTCTCTAAGTGTACTTCTTTAAATGGATTTACTTTTTGGTTAAAATACTTAAACTTTTGAATATGATGTTTTAATTTAGAACAAAACAAAACAAAAAAAATCACAGAAGGATAGCTCTAGATTCTTACCTGAGAAGGAACGCTTTTTGGTGGCTCAATGCGTATGGAAGGATCCCACTCTCCCGGAGGAAGGACAGTTACTTGATCTAAAAATTCATCAATTCCAGATAAGAGGTCATTTCTGTCTTTTGCTTTATAAGCTACATCATGAAAAATCTAAAGAAAAAAACATACTGAGTATAAGAATTTTAAAATTGAAAGAAAATTCTATATATAATCATTTCAACTTAGATATGTAAGTTCACTATTATCTCAACACTTACCTAAGACAGGTATTTGCCTAACCCTGAGTAACAACTCTAAAAAGTAACCCAATATTAGTATAAGTAACGAAACAAGCCTGGAGGTATGGCATAAGTGGTAAAGTACCCGAAGTTTAATCTCCAATATCCACTGCCCAAAATAATAAATACAAAAGACAATTTAGTGATGTGTAAAGAATGAAAAGTTTAAATAACTTTTTCACAAGAAAATACTGGGTAATTCATTACTGAATAAAATACTGTATGGTATGTCATTCTATGTCTATGACATTTAAATGTTATTTATCCTAAGGGAATAATCATAGATATGTAGGCAATGTACTTAAACCACTTATTTAAGGACAAATGCTTACTGGTTACCTACTGTTAGCTAGACTCATTCTAAGCACTGTAGATAAAGCAATGGAGACAAGTACGGAAAGATCCTGTGCTCAAGGGGAAAGATGGTTAAAAAGTTACACAAGGAAGTAAATGTAACTTCAGGTAAGGATAAATGCTCTAGTAAATAAAGCAAGGTACAGAAAGGGAAGCTGATGGGGAAGAACAGGTAGCCAAGGAAGGTCTCTTAAGAGGAGGCAATACTAGGGGGCATGGCTCCAGGAGCAGAATGCCTGGGGAAAAAGAGGGGAAGAGGGGAGGGGGAGGGGGGGACAAGGTGGGGAGGGAGGGAGCAGGAAGTACTATAGGAAGAATCTAAACAAAATGAGGGATAAAACCATGTAAAGGGTATAGTAAGGATGGGAGAAAGTACTCTGGCAGAAGGACTAGCAACTGTAAATGTACAGAGGTAGAAATGAGTATAACACATCTAAGGAACAGAGCAAAGTGGGGAGGAATAGCAAGGAGTGGTATCATGAAAGCTTTGGGCAATATGCAGAGGTTAGCTCAGCTAGGACCTCTGCTGACCATGGTAGAGTTCAAATTAAAACTTTAAAAGTAGGCAGGTGTCAGTAGCTCATGCCTATAATTCTAGCTTCTTAGGAAACATAGACCAGAAGGATCGAGGTTCAGATCTCAACAATAACCAACAAAAAATGGCAGGCAGAGTGGCACAAGTGGGAGAGCACCTGCCTAGCAAGTATGAAGCCCTGAGTTCAAACCCTAGTACAAAAAAAAAAAAAAAAAAAAGGAAGTTATTGATGTTTTTGGAGCAAGAAAATGATACAACCAAATATTCATGTTATTGGCAAGTACAAAGGGAAAAACTGTGAAAATTATGAAAGCCACATGAATCAACAGAAAAAGTAAGAATCCACAGAAATGTCAGTATAGATAGAAAGAATGAGAGACTAAATGCAAAACACACTGAAGAGGTAAAATCAACAACACCTGCTTACTGACTAGTTTAGACAAGACAAAGAAATGAGGTCAGGTTCAGATATATGGGATTTCTGGTAGCCCATGAATCTAAAAGAAATGTCTCTCAAAGAGAAACAAAAGTCCTGATCATTATATAGACCATGGTCCAAGATGAGGTCCCAAAATGTGAAAGAGAAATTGATGAAGAAATATCGAAAGTTCTATGGAAAACCAAAAGAAGCAACATTCTGAAATCTAAGATAGGAAAGAAGTTCAAAATTTCTAGGTGGTCAATAATTTCAAATGTGTGTAAAAAAACTCAAAGAACCATCTTTTTAATCCTGAGTAGTTAGAAATGGGTCCAGAGACAGTGACTAAGGCAAACATTTAGATATGAAATACAATAGTATAGAAATAGAGAACACTTTTTTTAAGCTTCTTTATGAAAGGAAGCTGGACTACAATTTAATTTCATCATCATTGTCTACCTGAACAGGATTTTAGTATATTTCAATTACCTCATCTGTCATCAGAGTTGCTATGGATCTCCCAATTTCATGGTACTGTGGTGCCTTGCCAGCTGGACCCAATAACAGAAACAAAAACCTAAGGAAAGATTAAAATATACAGATTTTAAAATATACACACATGTCTAGGTAATCATTTCTGAAAACGTGATTCAAATGTAAATAGAGAAACAACATTCAGCTGCTGGAATGGCACAAATGGCAGAGTGCCTGAGTACAAGCACAAGGCCCTGAGTTCAAACCCCAGAAAAAAAAGAACATATAGAAACAAAAAGCAGACCTCTTTTGCAATCCCCCAAAAGAATCATTAAAACAATGGCAATTCAGGGCTGGTGAAGTGTCTCAAGTGGCAGAACACCTGCCTAGCAAGCACACAAGCCCTCAGTTCAAACACCTGTCCCACCAAAATAAATAAATAAATAAATAAATAAATAAATAAATAAAACAAAGGCAACTCTACTCAAATTAAAAGATACCACAGAACTAAGAAAGGCATTCCTAATTAACTTCCTATCAAGTTATCACTTCACATCTTCCCTAGGGTCAAAAAGTAATGAAGAAAGTGTGGAGCATTTTTCATTAAAAAGCTCCCAATCTTCTAGAACCCTTTGTATTAGAGAAATAAATAAATCAATCAGGCCTGAAATGACCTCCCTCCCCAAAAAGTAAAGTAGTAAGTAAAATTAAATAGTTAAGCATAAACACACAAAAAAGTGCAGTAATTCATTCAAACTGCAGTTTTAGATATAAGCTCTACTGCAAATAGGGACTTTTAGTCAATCCCTTTGAGAGGAAAAAGAATTGTTATTATAACCCCAAATTTAATCAAAGCTCTTCTTACTCTGGGGACTAAATAACTGAATTATTTTTCTTATATATGTCAACATTGCATCATTAATGAAAGCAAAAGTGTATTTCCATCAAGCTCTATCAATTCTTCATATTCACTTATAAAAATAGTAAAAAATACACTTAATTCATAATTAAGCTTCTAGTGCTAATGAACTTCAGGACTGTCCTTTTGGCTAATAAACGGATTACTTTTCCTGACACAACTTGCTAATTATCTTTAATGGCTATTACCCCCAGCCTCGTTTTTACTTATAATGTATCCTGAACTGAAAATTTTCACCAGGTCAGAACAAAGTATTTTGCCTAAGTCAAAGAAATTATCACATTTTATCAACCTTATGACAACCTCGTTTTACAAATGAAGTTTAGAAAATTTAAATCAGGCTTGACCCTAATATATACATACTAAGCGAAAGAGAAAGGATTTAACACCATTCTCTCTTTTCAGTGCATGCACATTATATTAGAGAATGTGCCTAACGTGAGCGACAGGGCTAGAAGGTAACCTGGGCAGAGTGGACACCAACATGAGCAAGGCCAGAGTTCTATCGTAAGTAAGTAAACACTAGCTTTTTAAAACTAAAGCTCCTAAAATACCAACTTCTTATAAAAGTACAAATGCAAAATTGTTTTAAGAGAATGATGTTTATTTTACTTTATTTTTCAGTTTCATAAATAAAGATAACATATGCTCTAATACTCAAAGCATTTTGGCACAATGACTGAATGTTAACAATTAAAAAGAGCTTTTATTACATAAAGCGAGATGTTTGTTCATTCAGTGGATAATTTTTTTTAGGTTTGAACACAGAGGGAATACTAATTGGAACTAATTTTTACCTTGTAGGAACAGGGACCTCGGTTAACCCTGAGAGGAGGACGGCAGGAGCCAGTCTCACAAATGCAATTATAGGTCTTTCCAAAAAGTCTACTTCTCCCACCAGAACATTGGATGCCTCAGCTCCAGTAGGAATTTTCCTCATGAAATTCATGTCAACCTATTGACAAATACAGAGTAATTAAAATTTGCATGCTAATATAAGATTATTCAGAGCAAGTATGAAAGATGATTTTTAAGATGACTTATCAAAATCAAAACTTGTGATCAAAAGGATGTAAAAGAACCAAAATTCTCACAAATATAAAGAATGGAATAGACAAATATAAAAATTGCAAGCAAAATTCATTTATCAATACTACTGTTTAACTATTAGAATCTATTACTTCAAGAATCTAAGTTACCAAACTTGAGAAAATTTTCAATGAATATAGCACAATTCATTAAAAACTATTAAGGACATACAGTTCACAAACTAACAGTGATTCATGAAATTATACACAGTGCTAAAACATATTCATTTTATATTTTTCTATTATTTAATCCTGGAAATGAGTTAGTCCTTTTATGTTTTGTATGTTTTCATAACTCCCCCCTTTAGAAAAAAAAAACTGTAATATTCCCAAGTATTTTCATTAAGTGGAAAAGTTATTTATAACTAAAATCTACAGCCCTTATTAGTCTGAATATATGACACAGTAAGTGAAATTTAGTTGCCTGTGTATAATTACAAGGAAAAGGTTACAAACATGACACCTTCTTCATTTATACACAGTTTCACACAAGTCACTCAACAACCACTTACAGGGCTATCTACTAAAAAAAAAACCAGCACTTACAGCGGGCCTCTTGAGTCCCACACCCAGTGTGCCACAACTACAGTGCCAGGAGGCAGACTCCTGCCCAACAGGAGACATGGAGGTGTACACAGGGATAGGCCAAGTAAAAAAAGTAAAACTGTGACATAGGAACAAAAAGCAACGGCAACTGCCATGTCTAAAGGACATCTATAATATAAATTACATTAATTTATTCATTTAGCAAGAATTTTCAGTTTAGTTATGAACATCTTTTACTGATACTAAATGATATAGCACCATTAAAACAAGATCAAGTGAGAATAGAAGAATTGAAGTTATGACAGTGTCTCTGAGTAGACAAAGTCTTTAATGCAAGGCTTTCTGTAATTTTAGGGTTATAAAGCTCAGCAAAGCTAAATAACACAAATCATTTAAATGTCATTTCTGTAGACTTTGTAGAACAGAAGGCTCAAAAAGAATCAATCTCACTTAACATAATCACATTAAATACAAAGCCTTACATTTGATGCAAAAGAAAAATGAGTATTCTGTTGTAAATTAGTATTTAAAAGCAACTATTGCTACACCTAGTCAATTAATTGAGCTTAAGTTTCTTGTCCTACTCTTAGAACTCAGTTCTTTTCTTCCCTATTTCAATGAAATACTCACTGAATAAAATTTTTAAAATCATAGTTGAGGTTTGTTTTTTTTTTTTTATCCATGTCTTTACCTACCCATGGGGGAGGAGCACCAGTATGTTTCCCAGTGGAATTCCAGCAAATACTAACACTGTAGGACAGCAATTCTGGGATCATATTACAGCCCAGGAGGGGATGAAATCACTAGTGCTATGACAGCATGCCCAGAATTAACCCTTCTAGTGTTGATAGTTCCAGAATAAGGGATGGCAGGTCAAAATGTGTGTTATTTATGGGTAAGTATAGATGGAAAGGCCGTATTATTTACATATTCTTTTTTTCAGAATTGCTGAAACTAGTCAACATGTAGCTAATTCAGCTACTTGGACACTTTCTCAGTGTTACCATGTCACAAGCATCACATGCAGGTGTGGAAGCACCAGTCTACTAAAAAATTATTATAATCCATGTTAATAAAGAGACAAATTGCTAGCTACTTTCTCAGTAAGAATAATTATAAAAATGTATAGTTAATGATACAATTACCTTGCTAAAGTCAACAGTACTGTTTTCTCTGCTTCCTCCACTTCCATTACCTTTCAGCTCTCCACTTTTACTATTATCCAAGTTTCCAGGAGCAGATTGTGGAGAGGCCAAAATGCCTGTATTTAGAAAAAAACACAATTCCAAATTAATAAGGGGAAATTTGCAGCCTGACTGCTCAAATTCTGAAAGTGGTAGTTTATTATAAAAGCAGATGTGCAAGGTTAAAAAAAAGTAGCAAGTGTTAGTACCATACCAGCAAAACTAAAGTAACATTTTAAGCAATGATGAAGCTATTTAATACTTAAAATTTATAAAAATGGTGGCCTTTTGAAAAGAAAAAAAGTGAGACAGTGTGAAACCACAAAAGACAGAAGACCTAAGTCTGATTACCACTATAAAGACTCAGGGTTTACAGTTTTAATATCTCTAACATATAAGTGAATTGTGTTGAAGTTAGTGATGCCTAACTGCACTCAGCATGCTATAGGAATAACTATAAATCCTCTGACAAACTCAAGGTATAACCCAGAAAATTTAAGAGCTACATCAACTAAATGTAGGTTGAATTTATAGTAATCTTCCATAATCATAAATTCCCCCCAAATCTTTCATTTTTCTGTAGTATTTATTTCAGTAAAGCCTAGTATTGCTATTTCTAATTTTAATATACCAATTATTAAGTTATTTATAAATGCAAAGATTCAGTTTTTATAGTCAAAGATATCTGTGTTAAAATATAGTCTCTTGTCACTTTGTAGACATGTGATTAAGTAATTCACTCAACCTCTATGAGTCAAACAAATCTGTAAAATTAGTATGCTTAGGTTAGAAATGATTGTTGTTTGGATTGCAAATGATAGATATATGTTCAAGTATTAGTATATTCAAGTGTTATTCAACAGCAATATGCCATAATAATATAACATAATATGACCCATGGTTTCCTCTACTAATTCTGCAAAAAGTTCAATCTCAAAGATGTAAAATTCAAAAGCATTACAGATTCCTACCATTACATTCATCTCATTTTTTTCAAAAAGAGATTTTCTGGTCTAAGAATTTTAAACTAATGAATATTCAAAACGTTCGCCAAACAAAAGGGTAGGGAAGCATACAACAATTCAAAGCATATTCAACTTAGTGATCCACAGGAATTCAGTTAACATTTGTTTTGTGTAGTTACATCTATAAATCTCTGAATATCAAGTAATCAAGTTCCACAATTTGAAGCCCAAGAGAGATTTCTGTAGAACAGAACAAATTATAACTAATGAATACTGAAATTAAGGCATCTGCTTACATTCAAAGACAGAAGACTTCTGTAATAACACTTCTGTTAAATACATACCCTAGGATACCACTGTGACTTAAAAGTCTTAGTATAAAAAGTATCTGCAATTGATTCAGCCATATGCTCATTCTCTGGATAAGTTAAAGGATTCTAAAAAGCTGTTTCCTAGGACAGCTCATTCTTAATAACATTAAGCTAAGCATGGACAAGTTATTAAGATCCCTCTTGTCTGACCTTTGCCAGAATAGTGCACCTTCCTTGTTGGGAAGGAGGGAACCCGTAATTTTCAGTGGTCTCCACCTATTCCCTCAAGAAAGTCAGCAAGGTAACATTAAGGCCTGGTGGCAACTGCAACTCTGACTTCTGCCTGCTCAAGTGTACTCTGTGGAGACATGATCAGAAGAATGAGTGACAGCTCTCCACAAAAACCTAGTCACCAGACTGGGGAGAACACAATGGAACCAACAGAGGCTGTGGGGGAAAATAAGGCACGGTAGGAACAGGAAGAAATGAAGTGAAAACTCAATGACAAAGCTAGATGGTATGACCTGAAGTTAGGGAAGGACTTGGCTAACCCAGTCATCCTGAACCTGTCCCTTCTTCAGAATCAGCATAGCGTAACAGGTGCATGTTAGAGCATTCCACCATTATCCTCTCTCTGCTTAATCTTTCCAAGCCTCAGCTAACTTAATGCTGTTTTTCTTAGTAAATCAAATCTCCCTGGTCCTACAACAAATTTCTAGTGCTTAGAATTAAGTCAGTCACCAGAAAATGAAGCTTTCTATCATTAGCTCAGGTAAATCAAGGACTATGTCTGTTTTGTTTAAAAAAAGAAAGAAAAAACAAATATAATAAAATCAATGGGATTTAAAATCATACTCTAAAGTCATGTGTGGTGGTACATGTCTATACTCCTAGTTCTCAGGAAGGTGAAGCAAGAAAGTTGTAAGTTCAAGGCCATTTTGAGTTACATGTTAGGATCCTGTTTAAATAAATAAATGCAATAAAAATCATACTCTGGTAAATCTATTATTTCACATGTGTGTGTGTGTATATATACATTTTTTTTCAAAGTAAGAAAGGTAAAGATATCCAAGTCACTAAAGGTCTGAAAGTAGACCTAAAGCAGTAGATCTAAGGAAAATTATGTCTCTGAGGGCCATCAAGCAATGTCTGGAGGACACATTTAGATGTCACGTCTGGGGTTGCTACTGGCAACTAGGGGGAGAAGTCAGAGATGCTGCTAAACATCCTACGAAGGACAGAATGTCCCAATGCATCAAACTACTCAGCAAAGAATTATCTATCCCAAATGTCAATAGCAGACCAAGGCCGAGAAGCACGAAGTTAAGAAAAAAAAAAAAAAACACTTAAAATACTAGAAATGAGTTCTATTCTCTTAATAACTATCCTCCAAACAGTAACAGGAAAACACTACTTAATTTCTGAGAATGGGTATATACAAATGACTCCATGATGGAAGTCTACGGCATTAGCCTCTCCAAATGAAGTTGAGGTTACCTTCCTCTTCCAAGACAGTATCAGACTTCAAGGAAACTTCCAAGAAAGGTAATTAAAGAAGAAATGATATATAGCTGCTCCTATTATTTTTCTTCAATAATCACTGACTTTTTTCCCATGTTTTTTGTTTTGTTTTGTTCTGGATGGTACTAAGTGTAGTACTCAGGGCCTTGCACTTGTTGGCAGGTACTCTACTACTGGAGCCATGTCACCAGCCCAATTATCAACCAGCTAGAGATACGACCTGAAGTAGTAATCATGAGCATTTATAATCTTTGGAAATTCCCTCTCCCCTCCATTTTAATGTCTTCTCTTCAGAAAAGCAGATAAACTTCATTGCAAAACACATGGGATTAAGGGAAAGGAAAAAATAAACAAAACAAAAAACAGCTGTGTTCCTCAATTCCCAGTGAATTGCTCTTTAGCCTAAACCTGTATGTCCATTTATATGAGACATTTACAGTTCCCCGCTATTCATAATACAGAGATGATAAAACAAATGCTCAATGTCAGTCATCAATAGGATATAGATAAAAACAAATGGAAATAATTTTATAATCATTTTTGATCAAGGAAATAGGAAAAATCCTTACTAGTTCCTTTTAAGATGGGTGCTATTTCTAAGAACTTACTTGAAGGATATTCTTTTCGCCCTTATGTTCAGTTACTTCATTATTAAGCTGCATTTTTTTCATGAGCTAGCAAACTTGAAAATGAAAAACTGTACGACACATTTTGTTGTAAGTGGACTCAAGTTCAAATTTCAAATCCCTGCTCTGGTCATTTATAATACCATCCTAATAGTTAAGTCATTTTTTTCATTTGAAACATAGGAATAAAACCAACTTCATTAAATTTTTATAAAAATTAGAAATATATCTGAAATGTACCTTTATCACTGTGTCTAGAACCATAAAACAATGGCAGCTGTAACTATACTCAAAATTAATGTTACAATGACTTAGCCACATTTAACTTCTGCTTGTCCTTCTGAAAGATTTTTTTTTTTTCCGGTAATGACAAGTTTTGATTAAATCTATTTGTTCTACATGGGTAAAGCCAATAACAGGGGAGTATTTTTTTGATAGAATGTTAGGAACACAAGGATTAGTAGTGATAGAATTACACTTACTAGTTGTGACCCAGACAAAGTTAAAACTTTTCTGAGTTTTTGAGAATGAGAGCGTTCACAAAATTTATAGGTTTTTATACACACTGAACAGAATCATTTAATAAAGTTACTACTGAATTGCTAGGCATTATCATAATACTAGAGATGTGAAAATATCTATGTGATTAAAACTACCAGTTAGCATATCATATTGATACTTACTTAGCTGAAATATAGGTTAAAAAAGCAGTCACTGAACAATCATTTTTAAATACAAATTAAGTGGAAAGACGTGTGTATAAATGTTCACATAATCAATGTGTAAGGACCAAAATTAACATAATTTATAGCCCTTAAATAAGATAAGCGAAAAGCTTTTACACATACTAGAAATATTTTTTCTAACTCAGATACAAAAATACATCCTAAACCAGAAAATGGTAGATATTCTGCTTAAGAAAATTTTGGATTAAAAGGGCATTAAATAAAGGATGAGTAATGTCCATCCCAAAATACATTACTAGTCTTGAAACAATTACAGGCAGTCGGTTAGTAAAGAACCTCAACCTTCTCAGAGGAAAAAAAAGAAAATGAGAAAAAGATACGACCCTATCTTTATTAAGAAAGTTTAAAGTATACTGCATTCTTTGAAGAAAAGCATCAAACAGATAAATGGCACATTACCTCAATTATCTTTACATATGTGTTCATTTAGCGTAGGAATGAAATGCACAAGAAAAGCCACCACTTTATATATCATGGCAAATTAAGACATTATGAAAAATTTCTGCTTCCTGAATTACCCAAATACCTTGCATTCAAAAATATCAGTGACACTTTTGAAAGGGCTTAAATTATGTGTAGTCTTCTTGGTAGTCTTAGTTTTTAATAGCTGTATTTTTCCTACAGCACACTATAAAGAAAAAAACATGCAGAAGTCAAAGCAAATGGTAAGCATTATCTACATATGCTGCCCAAGTTGCGTGCTGAAAAGCATTCCAAGTGCAAGTGACCCAGAGGCAGAAAGCGCCACACGCGGAGGGTTTGGACGTTGCCTGGAGTTAGGTCAACATTTTCCTCATTCTTCTGCTCCTGGCCTGTCAGCGCGTCTAAGTCTTCCTCAGGCGGATGAATGACTACTGTGGGAATACCATCACTGGCAGGTGAAACCAGGAGTTCTGGGACCTGAAGCTGACTCTGCTGGGAACTTCTGGAGGTCAGACGACTGATGCTAGGACTGGAAGGAGGACTGTTCTGAGGGGTGGCTACTGGGGTCCCAGCTCTTGAAGAAGGAAGAAGATGACTGAGAAGAAGAGATAAAGGCGATTCTCCTCTCAATGAAAGGTTTGAGGCAGAGAGACCTGTTCGCAAAGAGTGACGGGAGGCTGAAAGGCCTTCCCCTGAGATAAAACAAATAAATGAAAAATAATGAAGTTCACTGCAGAAGGGAAATAGACAAAAAAAAAAAACTACATTGTAAATCACAAGCTTTAAAGATCCATATAATTCCAAACTCATGCTACAAAGGTTAGCATGTCAATCAGATTTTTAAATGTTAGAAAGTCACAAAAAGTTACATAAGAGGTACTTAGTTCCCTAAATGTGCATTTAAAAAAAAAAAAAACAGGCAAAGTGGGGCATGCCTATAATCCATACTGGGCAGAGGTAGAAGGAATACAGTTGGAGGCCAGCCCTAGAAAAAGTACAAGATCCTATCAGAAAAACAAACCAGAGCAAAAAGGGATAGAGACGTAGCTCAAGTGGCAGACTGCTTGCCTAGGAAACATAACACCTAGTATCACAAAAAAAATAAGGGGGGGGGATGTTTTAACAATGCATAGTGGTAACAATATTCTGGTAGAAATTAGAATGATCCATCAATAGTGTGGCAGTTTTTAAAAATTCAACACAAAGTTATTGCTTAAATAAATGACAAGTGAAAATATTAAAATAAAGAGAAACAAAACTCAAACCAAAACTCACCAACACTGATAGCTTATACTGTATTTTTCCAACAGTATACATCAAATAGTTACAATTACCTCTAGCAATAGAAGGCCACATAATAATTCCTAACTTAAAATTTTTATCAAATATTTATTAATATTTATTACATTAAGTCAATAAGGTCAAGTGGTGCTCTAGAGTTTAAAAAGTAAGACAAAATTTGGACTTTTTATAAAAAGAGAACTATAATGTTAATTTTAAAGGATGCATAGTTTTGAACCCTCTAAAAGAACTTATTAATAAATGACCCGAGCTGGGCATGGGGGCGCATGCCTGTATTCCAAGCACTTGGGAGGCTGAGGAAGGAGGATCACAAGTTTGAGGCCAGCTTCCCTATGTAGCGAGGTCCAGGCCAACCTGGGTGACACAGCAAGACCCTGTCTCAAATAAATAAATAAATAAATATCCTAAAGTGTGTTTCTCATTTCTAATATAGCAAATCCACTTAAACAAATACATACAATGTTTGAATTATATGTAAAAATAATGCATTTCATCAACAACAGCACAGTAAGACAGTGTTTGGAATATTACAAAAGCATGCATACTTAAACCAACTAACATCTCCTCTAAAGTGTAACTTAAAGAATAACAATCTTTTTTCAAAAATCATAAGGAATACAACAATTGATCTCATATGGTCAAAGAAATCAAGCCCCATTCTCAAGACAGCCCATAAATAAAGATAAACTTTTGGCCCGTAAACAATCACCATTTAGTTTTTCTTTTAAATAAAAAAAAAGCTATATGCAGAATAACTATTAAATTCCAACTACAATACAACAAAATAACATAGGATGGCATTTAAAAGAAAATATTCAACTGGGCAGGGTTGTGCAAGCCTGTAATAGGAGGATCTCAAATTCAAGACCAAGGCCAAGTTAGAAAGAACCTGCCTCCAAAACAAGATACAAAGTACTGAGGTTGCAAGGACTTTGGGTCCAATCCCTAATACAACAACCAAAAAGTATTAAGACTGCCTGCCTACAAAACTCCAAGTCCTGAGTTCAAACCCCATATAGGGAGAGAAAACAAAACAAAACAAAAAACATTATCTTAGGATTAAAGTGAATAAAGCTGCAATTAGAAGAATAATAAGAAAACATTGCATATGAGGAATAAAGGTTTAATACAGTCCCTCTGGCTAAGTAGAGAATATACAATAAATAAAAGATGAAAAGAAAGGTAAACTGTGCCATACGTGCCTTTAAATTAAACTGAGGTTTAATTCTTAAGATTCTTTAAATATACCAAGTTACAATTTTAAACAGATGAAAAAGACTTTTAATGATCAAATAGCCAAATTATGTATCTTCCACTGAGCAAAAAAAGATGATTACTGTCAATTTTAACTGCATTAAACCCCACCACTATGTCTATTGCTTATGGAATACTAAAAACCATGCTACTAATTCAGGGACAGAAAAGAGGAGAAAGACTCTGTCCTACACTACACTTAACATCTCTGAAAGCCTCACAAGTTTTGGGTAAAAGCAGCAGCTAGAAGCAGCAATGATCGCATAAACTACTCTAATCCTTTGCACCTGTGTTTTCCAGGTTACAAACTGGAATCTTAACTGTCATTGTAGTTCTTTGAGAGCCAAATTAGAACATAACGATGCATTCCTCTGCTTTAGACAGAAAAAAATTAGGCAAACACTCTTGTGTATCCCTAAGAAACTGACAAAGGTACATGGCTTTAAACAGTCTTCCCAACTCCCACATAATGTGCCAACAATTTATGAGAGTGGAGAGCTAGACTCTGAACTTGACTCTGAGCCATTTTCAATGACAGTAAGTCATGATTAGTGTAAGATAGGCCCTGTCACAAAAACCTTTCATAAACTGTATAAAGAAACCACTCCCCGAAACATGTGTTTATGCCCAATAAATACAGTACATTCAAAAGACAAAAAAAAAAAAAAAAAAAAAAACCATCAGGAAAAAATCTAATGCAGATATAAAGGTTCAAACCCAAGAATTTTACACAGCAAGTGACCTTGACAAGAAACAAAAAGAGAACAGAAGTAATTCAGCGTAAGAGATAGTGATTGTGTTTGAATATTACTTGGAAGAAATTTGTTTTGTGCCATTTTAATAACAGAATACTTAATTTAACTTCATCCAAATGATTTTTACAGATGATGCTTGAAAAAAATTATCTCATGCCTATAAACCCATGCTAGTTCAAGGCTAGCCTTTGCTACATAGCAAGACCACATCTCAGGAAAAGAAAAAAGGAAGGAAAAAAAAAGCTATTTCAAAAATGACATTTTTAGAACAGAAGTTACAATTATCTGGAAATACTTTTCTCCCTCCAAATATTAATTGTAACATACTGAAATGTGTTAGAGAAGTGTTAGCAGAAATCGGGAGCCACAACTTATCTCACCATTCCTTTCAAGCAAGTGAGGGTCAGAATGTTTCTTGCCTATATCTGCAAAAGATCGAACAAGGGGGATCCGACTGGCGAATTTTTTCTCATTCTGATGGTGATGTCTCTTCAGAAGAGCTTCTCTAACATTCTCTCTGATGGACTCATCTAACTGGCCAGAGGCTATCATGTTGTCTAACACCATATCTATTCAAAAGAAAAAATAAGTTATTATTATTAGTACAAAAGTGACAGTCATATAATTAAAAGTGAAACCACAACAAAAATAGATCATAAAATAGTTCTAGAAATATATTCTCTTAATAATGTATGCCTAAAGATAAATATGAACACTATCCATCCAACAAAAATGAGTAAATAACAGAGATCCTTATTTTACTAAATATCACATTTTTAAAAACTTGCTAATGGCTTTCCTATAGTTGGAAGTATGGAAGCAATAAACTTTATTAAGCTAAATATCCAGTAATATAGACTTCCTAATATATGGAGTTATTTTTTTGGCTCACCTCTTATTTTTCCCCAAAACTATTTGATAGATGAATACCAGGAACCATTCATTCAGTCATAACTACTTAATAAAGTGCCTATCTGCTGGGAATACAGCAGTTAACGAAACAGAAGTTTGTGCTCTCTTTCTCTCAGAGTTAGAAAAATCAATGAGGAAATAAGTAGATAAAATATCATGAAGTTATAGGTTCTAGGAAAAGTAGTATATCAGGTCGTGACAGAGATGAAAGAAATGAACAGACTGATGACAGTGCCATTTTGTACTTTACTATGGTCACTGGACTATTTTTAACTTATAAAACATATGCACAAATTGTTTTAAACAGTAGAGCTAGAGATATTCAGGGGTGGGGAGGGTGAGGAGAGGGTAACTGAACCCAGGGCTTTATGCGTGCTAAGTGCATGCTCTACTACTAAGCAACTCCCCAAACTCTTTAAGAGCGTTTGTAAGTCAAATTTGCAAAACTGTGATAGGTTACTCTGGAAGAACTAACCTAACAGGTAAACTACAACATTAATACAAGATGATAATTTATCATACAAGTGAACACTGAACTGTACACAACATTTACTAAAAGTGCTATATTATGTTGTACATTTTGCAAAGTCAGAGTAAATTTCATGTCTACCTTTAAAAATCCTAACCCTAACTCAATTTTTCAGTCACTCATGTAAGACAAGAAAGTAAGAACTTTGACAATTTAAAAGTATGGGGCTGGTGGAGTGGCTCAAGTGGCAGAGAACCTGCCTAGCAAGTGTGAAGACCTAAGTTCAAACTCAAGTACCACCAAAAAACAAAAACAAACAAAAGTTTGCCTCACATGGTCAAATCTAACAATTAGGTAAAATTCATGGATTTACAGCCTGAAGTAGGCTTATGGTTCTCTTAAAAATCAAATCCTACAGACTTTTGTTTCTATGGAAGCAATCTACAGTGACAATCACAATATCAAACTCACTACACCACTGAACATGATTTTGGCTTAAGTAACTTTTAGTTAGTGGTCGAACAGCTTTATCATAGCTCTCTTTCCAGTTTCTATTTCCACATTATCATTCAAATCTCTCTCCTTCATTTCCATTGCTATGCCTACCACACATCAAGTCACCAGCATTTCTTGCTTAGACTATTCCATCCAAGAGAATAACATGACTACTTGCTTCTAATGACTTCCTAATCCAAAACTTCCGTAATCTTCCAGAAGCATACTTCAGGATCACAATACTCCCTAACTGAAAAACCACCAAGACGGCAAAATACCTACCAAATAAAATCCAATTTGTTAACTCAATAATCCAAGGCTAATCATCACCTATCTTTAAGTTATTCTTGCAACGCATCATGTACTACTCAAGAAGTCTATATATTCGTGTGGAACTGACTTTCCTAAAACCCACAACAGTCTTTTTCTTCTAGACTTTTCTCTGGCTCTGGCTCCTCCTTAAAACTCTATTTTCTCTAGTACTGGCTGCTTTGTATTTCAGTGTGCTCAGATCCTGTGAATAAATTGTGCAGTTCATGTTCTCTGCCCACTTTTGCCAGACACCACGGTCCAAAAATCAAAGAAACAAAAACTCCTTTCCCACAATGTCCAGAAAATAGACTTCGTATTTGTTTAGGGCACTGGTCTCTCTTTATACTAGTTAGATTTAATTTAACCTTTTAATCTCTAAATGTATCAAACACAAAGGCATATCTTCATTTATGTATCTATCTCTCACATTGCCCCTTCAAATAAGTCTGACATAGTTGCTATAGGAATGTCTACAAGGACACTCTATTTTCTTTAATTATCTCCAATTTTAGTGTATCTTAAGTATAAATTTTAAAAACCAGTGTACTATAACCTGCTATTTCATCTAGAGTGCTTGCTCTCATATCCAGCATGACTGTTCCATTTAGGATGCAACTCCTTAATTCAAACAGACTGTGCAAAGAAAGAGTTGCCACATAAGGTTTACTCCATCGGTCGCCACCATCTTCTACATCCTCTTCAAATTTCAGCCATCTGAATGAATATTTAAAAATATTTTGTAAATAATGAAAATGCCATCTGTTTCTTTTAATGATAAACATAAACTTATTATTTATAAAAAGAAACAAAAAATGACCACCAGAACAAACTATTGTTACAAACATGTTTCCACAAATGAGGCCAATGGTCTACTTTACAGTCACACTTTCCCATAAACAATTATAAGAAGCCTACAAAAAACAAAGCTATGGAATTTCATAGTTTCCACTTCTAATGCTCTTTTAAACTCAAAAACTTCACACAAAATTTTGGTTTTTCAAATTTGTTTAAAGACATTTCTTAACACCTACAATAACATAATTCTTTTAACATTTTAGTAAGTAAAGAAGTATTTAAGAAGAATCAATAAAAAAAGATAAAATCTCCAGGCACTAACAAAGAAATTCTCCTGTTTAAAGCAGACATATCTCATAATCTCCACTGAATATTATTATCAAGAGTTGAGGTTCAGCAGTGTTACCTGGCAGTTTCCTTCCATTCATATTCTTCTCCATCTCTGTAACACAGCTCATCCATCTCTGTAAAAAGGTCATGGGGAATGTGCTCTTCATCATCATCTTCAGTACCAAGGATGAACTGGACTCTCTGGGATGGTGTGTCTTAACAAAAGAAAATTTAATACACTCAGAGCTTTTCTCAATTCATTCAAAGATAAATTCAGTTTTGATAGTGAAATATTTTTGCTATAAAGAAATACATTTCATCAAATTTTTCTATTTTAATTTTTAAAATATCGTAATTCTGAAAGAAACCCATGACCCACAATCAAGACCAAAAGAAAAAAAAAAGAGTATCACAAGTATCTCACCATTGCAGAAAGGAAAAAAAAAACTGTTCAAAATAAATCAGCATCCAGAATTTGTAATACAGTTAAGGTCAAGAGTAAAAAATAGCTGAGCACTGGGGACTCACACCTGCAATCCTGGTTAATTGGGAGGCTGAGATGGGAGGATCTCAGTTCAAGACTAGCCCAGACAAACAGTTCACAAGACCCCATCTCCAAAATAACCAGAGCAAAATGAACTGGAGGTGTGGCTCAAGCAGTAGAGAGCATCAATCAAAATGTGAATCCTTGAGTTCAAACTCCAGTTTCACAAAAAAAAAAAAAAAAAGGTCTTCTGGTATACAGGAGCCAATTTTTGCCTACTATCATGGACAAACAACTCTTGTCAGCTGGGGTTTGGTGGACAGGACAAGTCACTGCAAGGAAAAGATACCCCGCTCATGGCATCTAAAACCAAATTACTTTGGTGGAGTTGGGCACCAGTGGCTCACGCCTATAATCCTAGTTAGTCATGAGGCAGAAATCAGGGGAAGCATGGTTCGAAGTCAGCCCCAGGAAAATAGTTCACAAGACCCTATATCGAAAAGACCCATCATAAAAAAGGACTGGAAGAGTGGCTAAAATGGTAAAAGTGACTGTCTAGCAAGTATGAGGTCCTAGTTCAAACCTCAGTGCTACCCACCCTCCCCCCCAAAAACTTTTATCAGCATACAGAAATATTACAAGGGGGCTTCACCGTGATAATTACGTAGATGCATACAGTGTACTTTGAACAAGCTCGGATGCCTCCTTAACCCTTTCAATACTCATCCCCTTGCAAGCAGCATTTGGTCTGACATTATGCTGTGTTCATATGTGTGTGTGTGTGTGTGTGTGTGTGTGTGTGTGTGTGCGCACGCGCACACGCACGTACACGTTCATGTATCTGCATGTTTTTGTCTTTTTCTTTTCTGTTCTTTGGGATTTTTTCTTCTTTTTCTATATATGTCTACATGTAACTTCATAATTTTGTTCATTTGTTTGTCCATTTGTCTGTAGCCCAGCCTGGAACTCACAATCCTCCTGCCTCAGCCTCCTGGGATTACAGATATGTGCCAATGCATAACTGATTAATTTTATTGATTTCTTCCAAAGAAAGAGATTTCAGACTGATCCATTATTTCTTTTTCTGATTTTTATTTTATTAATTTCCATTTTGATTTTGTTCCCTTTTCCCTTGTATTTTCCCTTGGTCTCTTAACCTAGAACCTAAAATCATTGATTTTCAATTTTTTTTTTCTAAGAGGAATAAGGATTAAATGATGGCTGCACCTCATAAATCTTGGTATGCAGACAATCCTCACATGCACAGCTCTATAATAAATGAAGCCTTTGTAGATCAGAACCACACCATTTAGCAAGACTATCTGTATTACTTGCCTGGACTGTGTTTTCATTTTCAATGAGTTCAGAATACTTTCTAACTGCTGTTGTGAATGCTTCCTTAACCCCTGACTACTGTTTTGCTAGGCTCTGCTCAGCAACCCCCCATCCCGCAACGGGAGCATACTGTGGCAAGAAACAGTTTCTGAGCAATAAGCTCACGCAACCATAGGATTTCTCCTCAGAAAGCAGAGTCTGAAGGTCTGTGACTACTGTCCCATATATTTTATCCAGTCTTCCATCTATGAAGTAAGTCAGGTTCAGAAAAACAAAGGCCACATGTTTTCTCTCACATGTGGAGATAGATCCAAAAGACAAACATATACAAAAAACAAATGTGATCATATACAAACTCAAATGCAGCACATGTCTGTAATAGTGGAAGTACTGTATGGAACTCCAGGGAGGTGGGAAAAGAAAAGAGAATGACAGAGAGTCAACAATACAGAAATACATCTGTGCAGGTAAAGGATACAATGCTGTGTACTGAAAGCTGTTGAATAATTGGGGGAGAGGTGGGCAGAAGAGGTAAGGGAAAGTAATGGAAGGGGTTGAACTGGCCAAAGTAAAATGTACGCACAGCAGGGGAACTTTGAGAAACTCCCTTGAACATTGACTTTGGAATTAAAACTCAAAGACTGGACTGTAAAATAAATGCAGTGGGTGGGGGAGAGTTGTTTAGTTTACATGTGAGAGGGAAATAGAGGAGACAAAGGTAAGGGAATATGGTTGATGAACTTCATATACATGTGTGAAACAGAACAATGAAATCTTTCGCAACTGCTTTAAGTGGGGCAGCGAGAGGGGGTGGAGAGAGCAATCTAACCAATGTACAATGTAAGGCTATTGAGAATTATCACAATGAATTCCCTCTGTACAACGAATATATCCTAATAAAAATGGAGGAAAAAAATGGGAGGACATTTCCAAACTTTGGTTGTAAGATTTGGGAACCTACTATACAGCATGGTGGTAACAGTAATAATATATTGCAGATTTGAATCTGCTAACAAAGTAAACAGATCACTATGTGACATGATGGGTACACTAACCAATTTAATTTTGGCAGTCATTCCATAATGTATACAAGCATCATGCTGTATATCCTAAACATGTACTACTTTTGTCATCTATACCTCAGAGGAAAAATAACATAAAAAGAGTAAGTTAAAAAATAAAACGGGGGCTGGCAGAAAGGCTCAAGCAGTAAGTGTGCCTGCCTAGCAAGTGTGAGGCACTGAGTTCAAATCCCAGTGCCTCAAAAAAAAAAAGAAAAAGAAAATTCATCTGTTATTCCATCATGGCATGAAGCAAAAATCTCATGTAATCTCTTTGGAACAGGAAGAGGAAAGAAGAGACATCATTCATAGGACTTTCTAGTACAAACCAATAGTTAAAGACAAAATAAGCCCACTTCAGGAATAATTATTCCATTTAAAAAGTCGAGACCAGAAATGGTGGCTGACCTCCATAATCCCAGCTTCTCTGAAGGCAGCTGTGGAGGAGGATCACTGAGGACAGCTTCTGCAGAAAGTTAGTGAGACCTCATCTTAAGCAATAAAAATGAGTGTGGTAAAAACAAATGAGTATGGTAGTCATGTACTGTAATCTCATCTATCTGGGAAGCATAAATTGGAGGATTTGTAGCCCTGGCAAAAATGTGAGACCCTATTACAAAACTAACTGAAAGAAAAAAGGGCTGGGGGCTTGGTCCAAATAGTAAAGCACCTGCCTAGCAAGTGTCATGTCCTGAGTTCAATCTTTATACTACCAAAGGGAAAAAAAAAAAAAAAGTCAAATATTTTGAACATAATTTGTTTCAAATGATTTATGCTTAAGACTTAATTTACAACACAGCATTCAGTATGAATTATAGAAATCTACAGATCTACTCACAGGCTACTCACAGTAGCCTAAGATATTCTAAACTTGATAGATACATCATATAGGACATCACTAGGAAGCCCACCTATCTTCAGATTCATGATCCCTTTGCTAGCTATATGACCACTTAATATTTTATTGGGTCATTAGATTCTGAGTAGTGGTTCTTAAGTGGCACCTATCATTTAGCCCCAGTGACCTGAAGTCTCTTGATCTATAAAATGAAAATAATACCCACATTTAAATTATTGAGAAAAGGGCTGAGAACATAGCTCATTGGTAGCGCTCTTGTCTAGCATGAAGCAGGCCCTGTGTTTGATCTCCAGCACTACCAAAAAAGGAAAAAAACCAAAAAGGTGACAAGATTAAAACACATTTGTGAAGGGCTACCTGGAATGTTTGTCATTAATAATTATCTATTTGTCTTATGTCCATCTTACGATGATCATTCGTGTTAATTTTCCTTCCGTGTATCTTCACAAAAACTCTGCTTTCACATAGCACGGAGGAGCCATACTAGAGCACACTAGAGCAGTGGCCAGATGAGCTTTTAATGGCCTAGAAGACAGTGATGTCCTGCATGTTAACCATACGTAATAGTCTTTCCACTGTGTCTTACGGTCACTTAAACCACTGATATCAATCCTTATTACATAACAAAATAGACAATGTTCTCTTTTCTCTATACACATAGAATGACTTTTTTCTTTCTAATTTCTATTGGTGCTTCTATACTTTCTTTTTATTTTTTTTTTTGGTGGGACTGAGGTTTGAACTCAGGACTTCATGCTTACAAAGAAGGTGCTGCATCTCTGAGCCACAAGAGCAGTCCATTTTGTTCTGGTTATTTTGGAGATGGGGGTTCTTGTGTCTTGTGAACTATTTGCCCACATTGGGCTGAAGTCACAATCCTCCCTCTCTCAGCCTCCCAAGTAATTAGGATTACAGGCATGAATGCCCGGCTTACTTCCCCACTTTTAAATAATAAACAACAAAAAACCAAGAAGAAAGTCCCTGTACTTCTTATATGCTACTGTCAAATCAGGCCACTCGTTTTTTACACAGATAATCCAGCCTAGTAGATAAAATCTTCTAGCCAAAAAATGTGACTTTCCTTTTTCTTTTTTTTTGCAGTACTGGGGATTGAACTCAGGGATGTGTGCTTGCTAGGCAAGCACTCTCCCACTTGAGCTTCACAGCCAGCCCCAAAAATGAACAAAAAAGGAACAAAAAGGGCTACATGTGGTGGCACACACCTGTACTTCCAGCACTCAAGAGGCTGAGATGGGATGACGGAGAGTTCCCAGTCAGCCAGGGCTACATAATGAGACCCTGTCTCAAAAAAGCAAAGAAAGAAAAAAAGAACAAAAACAGAAAAGCTTTAATGCCTTCCAGTACCTTTATGTGTTTCACATATCTGTTTAATGCACATGTAAGTAATGAAATATACAGCAGAGAAAAGGAAACCTCACTAACCTAAAAGCTAGTTGACAAAATCCAACTTTATAATTCCAATGCTTGAACATGAAGAAAGCCACACCCTTTTTGTTTTTTTCACTTATACCAAGAAAATCTAAATCTAGTAACCAATATTTTTGCTGTTCAAAAAAAAAAAAAAATTCTATCTGGGTATATTGGCTCATGCCTGTAACCTCAGCATTTGAAGGCTGAGGTGGGAGGAGCCAGATGAGCTTGAGTCCAACCTGGGCTACAGTACCACAAGACTCTGTCTCAATGGAAGGAAAAAAAAAAAATTCCTTTAATTGGTATTCCCCAATGTATATGTGTCTAAATTACTGTAGATATACAATTTGGAAAAGAAGACTCCACTTAAAAATAAGATACTCTCCAGGAAAGCACTTTAAACCATTAATGAAGAACACCTATTTTCTCCTACCATAAGAAGGAGATTCCCGTCCATCTTCCTTATCTGATTCTTTATCTCTCCTTCTCCGGTGGTGATGTTTGTGTCCACGATGCCTGTGACGCCGACGACTCTCTTTACTAAATGGTACGTGAACACCAATGTATACAGCTCGATGACCTAGTAAAAGATTTGGAAACAAATTACTGGTGTTCTGAGAGGGAAAAGTACACCAAAACTCACTCTAGTAACAAAGAATTACATAGAAGTTCATGCAATTAATAATGGAAAACTCTAGTTACTTCTCTTATTTTACAGAAAACTTCACAGGGCTGGGGATCTATCTCAAGTAGTAAGGTGCTTGCCTAGCACACATGGGGACCTGGGTTCAATCTCTAGTACCACAAAAAAAGAAAGAAGGAGGAAAAAAAAAGCATTATACAATGTTATTCCTGAGGCCATATCTCTGACTGGTAATTACACCACATACACAGATTACTGTTGTAAACATTAGTTTTTACTTCTAAAAGATATTTTGAAGAAGAGAAAGGCCCACCTAAAATTGTATCATACAGACATAAATTTATTCCACCTACACTTTGGGTAACACTAGTTAGCAGACATCCTTAAAACTTATGTTTTAATGAGTAAACACTTTACATTACATACAGTATACATCAGCATTTGGAAAAGTTAGAACAAAGTCCAAATTAATGGGGGCTACATTAAATATAAATAATCCAAATGTGCTAATTAAAGGGTAGAAACTGTCAGAATAAAGAGCAATACAATGAAGTTTCTATATGCATTTAGGGTAGAAAAGGCTGCTACCAGTACTACATTAACCAGCTTTCATGTTCTGACCCTCACCCCCAGCCCCCAACAGGAGCTGTAAGAATGAGGTTCCTATCTAAGCTGTTTTGAGTAAACAGGGACATGGACTACAAGTTCAACAATTTGCAAATATGGAAAAACATCTGACATAGACTTACAAGAGTAATATCCTCAAATATGAAGTTAATGACACATTTTTCTGACAAATTCTGTAAGATGGGTAGAAAATAAAAACTGTGGCTCACGCCTATTATCCTAGCTACTCAGAAGGCAGAGATCAAGAGGATCATAGTTCAAGGCCAGCCAGGGCAAACAGTTCATGAGACTCTATCTTGAAAAATACTCAACAAAAAAAACGGCTGGGTCATGTGGTAGTGTCCCCCTGGCAAGCGTGAGGCCTTGAGTTCAAACCCCAATAACGAGGGGGGGCAACCCCTCAACATTATATGAGGTTTTATTCTTTTTTCCTTTTTGAGATAAGAGATTCACTATGTATCCTGGCTGGCCTGGAACTCACAGTTCTCTGCCTCTTGAGTACTAGGATTATACATGCACATACTACCACACCTGACCTCTTAGATGAGATTTAAAAAACTACATTTTTAGCAGCATTCATTGATTGTATATTTTCAAATTTGCAGACTAACTAAAACTTCAATGTAGCCCCCAAATCAATGCAGACATGCACAGAGAAGCAAAAAATTTGAGTTGCCTGAAGTTTAGATTCCCAATTAGGAGAAAAAGGCAATACTGACATCTTATTTCAGCTGCTGCTATATTAATATCAATTATGTGAGTAAGCACTTTGTAAAGTAAGAGAGGGCTAGACTTACAGAAACACAGTGAAAGAAAATTACTTGTTTAAACATCTCCAACAACCAAGTGCTCTGGCTACCACAGTGACAAATGTCTTCAGAAATTAAATTTCAATGACTTGAAAAAACTTTACCAGAGAATTCCAACTTTAAAACTAAAATATACAGGGCTGGCAGAGTGGCTCAAGCAGTAAGAGCACCTGCATAGCAAGCATGAGGCCCTGAGTTTAAACCCCAGTGCCACCGGGGGAAAAAAAAAATTTAATATACAGAATTTCTTTTGAGGAATGATAGAAATGTTACTGAAATTGAAATAGTATCTCTTTTCTGCCTCTGGCTAAGATCAAGTTTGGAAGTACAGTGATGATGGTTGTAGGACAGGGTAAATTTAACAATGAACTGTGTACTTTAAAATGGTGAATTTCACATTATGTGAATTACATAATAAAGTTTAAAAAAACTTTAAAACTTTTTAAGTTTAAAAGGAAACTTAGTGATTTTATAATTTTATTTCAGTGAAACTATTTCCTTTGGCATATGAAGAAAAGAGTCAAATTCCTATCACTGCACTGGGAATTACAAAGTTGTTACTCCAATTAGTACGAATGGGTCTTGGCACACAAGCCCCAATGCACCAGGATAAAACTAAACCCTGAGTTTGCACTTTAGAAGGGCTAGATAAAATAAATAAGAACTCTTCTAAACAAATGCTCTACGTCACAACGATAAAAAATGTTTGAAGAAATGGTTAAACTTAAAGAATACTAGTGAACATTAATTGGCAATTTATCCTTAAGCACAATGTTATTTTAAACATACTTACTTTCTAGTTCTTCTTTTTCAAACTTGGTGTTCACAGTTGAGCTGGTTTTACCAAGATCTACCACAGCTTCTTCATCGGGACCCTAAAAATAAGTTGTTCTCATTACTCATGAAATCAACAGACTAAGAACCTATTATTTGCAATATCTGAAATGTCCAAAACATAAAAAACAAACTGCTTTCTCTCCAAGAAAACAGAGTAAGCTACCTGTATTCTTTAAAGTATGTTTATGGGGGTTTTTTTTAACCCATGGAAGACCATTCAAAATCTTAATCGTAAGAATTGAGGTGACAAAGATTCACCTCAATTCCACTTCTGGGAAGATCTAAATAAATGGAAACATATTCACTTCATCCTCAATAGGAAGTCTTTTCAGGACAAGAGATAAAAGGAAACCTTGATTTTGCTCCTAAGTTCAATAATTTAAAAAAAGAAAATCTCTATTGTATTGGATTATAGTTAAATATAAAATTGTCAAAAATTAGGAGACTCAATATGCAGTACTACTTGTAAGTTTACTAACAGCAATCAAAGAACAACCTTTTATTTCCCTACAAAGGAAAAACCATGCCAAAAGTTTTACCTTTAGGAAAATTCTATCTTTCAGTTGTGAAAATTTACCTTTATGAACCCACTTTTTAAATATTTTTCCCCTTTTTCAGCTCACCAAAAAGAACGTATTTATGGAACATAAATATATTTATTGTAAAATACTGCATAGACTATTTTAAAAGGAATAAAATTATAAATTAATGTCCTTTCTCAACTTCTAATAACTTTAAAAGGAACATTATAATCATCACTAACTAAACTTATGTGGCAGATAGAAACAGATGCACAAATCCCCTTCTCTCAAAGTGGTTCTGGGTTCAAGCAAGACAAGCTGCGGCTGGCTTTGAACTGTACCTAGCACAGAACCTATGGAGTTGGGCAAGGAAGCACTTAGTCCAGCCTTTAACAGTGCTAGACCTGCAGCTTAAGGCTTTTCAGTACATACAAAGTAAATTTAGATTAACTATTCTTTGCTAACCAAACTCAGGACCCAAATTCTCACTATCTAAAATCCAGGAAGTGAATGGATTTGCTCCAATTTTCAAATAAATTCCTTGCTATCCAAACTGTATTAGCTGCCCCACAATCAGAACCAGTCACAGTATATTAAAGAAATGAAGATTTTCTGATAACCAAACTTTCTGAATGCTAGATATCCAAACAGAAGAGTCATGTAGATATCCAAACAGAAGAGTCACTTGTACATGACTGAGTGACTACGTTCAACTTAGTAAGATACCCAGAGAAGTTCCATGAATCTCTTAGGCTCTACATTTAAAGGAGTAGAAACGTAAACTATGGAACAATTTCATAGAATGCATTAAGAAAGAAGACAACAGAATGTATTCTTAATCATACTTTCTCATAGTTCTTCACTTACTTACTAATGAGGAAAGGCCAAAGCAGGAAACCAAATCAAACACCAGCAAAGTTCAAGAACAAGCAACTAATAATTAACTCTCTGTAAACCAAGTAAACTTTAGCTATCTTTCAATGATTTCACGTCATTTAGTTTCTAAGTACACACAGGTATAAAAGACAAGCTCTCTCACCTAAATAAGAGACAGAACTGGCATCCTGAGAGGTAGCATATTATCGGCTCTAAAAGGGATGAAACCACTGCCCAAACAAACTTTGATTCGGCCTACACAATTGCCAGGAGAAGCAAAACAATGCACTGAAGTCTCTCCTTCAGAGACAAATTTATTTCCATGCAGCCATATTTAGTTTACTAACAACACTGATCAGCTAACACTCAAAAGTAGCTTAAGTTAGGCAACCTATTATTTATTTCATAGTACATTGACATTCTCTTTATTACTGTTACACAGTACATCCTTGTTTCAAGGAGAGGACCCTGAAGAAAAACCATGAACACTCAGGATGCACAGAGCTCAGTGCTGTACAAAAAAAGAGGACGCTGGATTTATTTTTCCCATAATGCCACCCAACTTCTGCTAGACACATGCCTCTTTTCGAAAAAAACTCTCCAATTTTAAATTTATCAGTTCAACTAAGCGCACTTTTACCTTGCTTTTGGGGCACCATTTGCATGTTGAAAGGCATATTTTCACAAAATTAAGGGCAGAGAGATACTCAGCAGATCGATCACACAATTCACAACAGGCAATAACACAGGACTGACTGAGAGTTTCTCCACATCAATGTGAAATGGATGCGTGGGAAATTAAATGTGTTTGAGCATTTGTTTTGTTTCTTTTCTTTTGACCATGTTTGATCAAATCTGTGTAATCAACCCACAAATAAGGTGACTTACTGTATTTAGTTGACATGCACATGCCCTTTGACCTTTAAACATTCACCATAGGAAAAAACACCCCCATAGAATATAAAAAAGGATGTTCTGTGATGGGTACATAGCTTAAGCAGTACAGTGCTTACCTAGCATGTTTGAAGCCCAGTACTTTAAAAAAAAAAAAAAAAAAAAGGATGTCCACTGACACCTCCCCTCCATGGTCTACCCAGCTTGCTCCCACCAGACTACATCTACGAAGCCTTATGCAAGTCATTCATCTTCTCTGAACTCCCATTCTCATTGTGATAGTATTTCTAATAACGAAAAAAAGCAAACAAAAAAGTGTCAAAAGAAAGAAGGAAATCTCACTAAGGAAAAAATTTGAAAACACAGACCTAAAGGCTGTGGATATACTTCAGTGGTAGAGCCCTTACCTTCAATCCCCAGGAATGGGGAGGAAAAAATTTCAAGGATACATTATTTGGTGAAAAAGCAAGTTACAAGGAAGTAAGGTCACATTTATGTTAAAACTTACATAACTCAATCAAAATTTTATTTCTAAATGTGCATTTATTTCCATCTGTATTTGTACTAAGTAAAAATGAAGGGAAAGTCCTGAAAGGGTCTGCACCAAATTGTTAACTGCTCAGAGAACTGGGTTTAGATGAAAACTAAGTTAGAACTTTATTTTATATTATTATTACAATTTTCAATTTGAAGGTTTTTATGAATAACTTGCATTAAGAATCTAAAGCTGAAATGTTTAAAGACTAGGCCTGGTGGAGTGGCTCAAGTGGTAGAGTGCCTACCTAGCAAGCATGAGGCCTTGAGTTCAAACCCCAGAACAACCAAAAAATAAAAATTTAAAAAAAAAAATCTAAAACTCTTATAGCATTCATATTAAAAAGTTGGATGCATGTCTCCCCTTCCTTCCAAACATTACCCAGTTTTTACCTACAAAACATGAATAAGAAAGGCACATCTGCTTTAAATGCCAATATTAAGAGGGCCATACAAAAGTGCCATCTTGATAAATGATAAGTAGTCCGCAAAAGCGGGTAGGGTACACATAGCCATACAATGAAAATTCTGAGAACCAAGGCATTGGGTATTTTCTAAAACATGTGTTTTAAATGCTATCATTTTAGGATAATACTTTCTATTATATTTTTTTCTTTTTTTTTTGGCGGTACTAGAGTTTGAACTCAGGGCCTATACCTTCAGCCACTCCACCAGCCCTTTTGTGTGCATGGTTTTTTTGAGGTAGGGTCTCATGAACTATTTGCCCAGGCTGGCTTCAAACCTCGATGCTCCTGTTATCTACACCTCCTGAGTAGCTAGGATTACAGGCATGAGCCAACAATACCCGGCTTCTATCGTATTTCTTAATATACAGTCAGTTAATACTCCCTGTACAGTACAATGCACTAGAAAACTCAGAAATACAAAAGAATAAAAAGGCATCCAAATCATATCAACATGGGCTGGACTCCATCTAATCTTAAGGAAATTATTAGCTGTGGTGTCAATTTTTTTATTTATAAAAATAAGGTAACTATTTAAGGCCAGGCACAGTGGCTCAAACCTGTAATCCTAGCTACTTGTGAGGTGATGATGACAAGGATCATGGTTTGATACCAATGCAAGATATTCAAAAAACCCATCTCAACCAATGGGTGGGCACAATGGGGTACACCTATCACCCCTGCTACACCAAGTAGCACAAATAGGAGTATGGTGGTACAGGTTGACTGGCATAAAAGCAAGACACTATCTCAACACACACACACATACACACACACACACACACACACACACACAACACACACACACACACACAAGGCTGGTAGAGTGGCTCAAGTGGTACAGTACCTGCCTAGAAAGCACAAAGCTCTGAGTTCAACCCCCAGTACATAAAGATATATGGTTATCTTAGATTGTAGAAAAAATTTAGATTCTCTGTATATGAAATAGCACATGCAATTGTGCTTATAATAAAAAGAGGCTGGAAGCAACCCAAGGGCTCCCTAACAGAGGAAGTACTAAATAAACCATGGTACATGACTCAATGGAACACAAGCTACTGAATAGTATTACAAAATTCTGAAATTAACTGCATATTGACATAATTTGGGTACCTTTTTATTCTTCCATGAGTTTGGGTTTTCCTAATGTCATGAATGAATTAAAATTTGAATTTCATCTAAAGACAATTTGAAGAAAAAGTTTCAAAATGCAGAAAAGAGGGGAAAAGGTTAAGAAATGGAAAAAAGTGAGAACAAGAGACTTCTAAGAAGTATGAGGCCTAACGACTGACAAGCACAAAACCCTGGTAACAAGGATTTGGGTTAGTGACAGGAGACATGTCAGGTGCCTTGTTAAGACACACTAACAATCCTAAGACAATCGGAAAACTTCATTAGGGTTCTAGATGAAATTACAAATCATAAATATTTATCATACTATTTCTACAAATGCATTCACTCTAAGTTTTAACCAGTACACATATAGGAATCCCTTATTGTAGGATTTTCAAATATGTACAAACTAATTAATAGAAATGAAAAAATTAACATCTATTTTAAAAACTGAAACCCAAAGAAAAGACAGGGAGGAAATCTTTCAGCAGTACAGTTTGCCTATTCGTCCCCTTAACGATGCTCTTTCCTCAGGAATCCTATTGACTGAAAAAAGAAGTCTCATCTCTTTAAGGACTAGCAACTAAGGAATTCAGCCATTCACTTAGCAAATGCAGAATATACACTATGAGTATT